TACGACAGTAAAAAAATGCTTAAAACGTTAAGATTGTTTTGACACACATTATAAAAGTTTACAAATGACTTTAGAAAAAACTTAGTAACTACGACTTTTAAAGAAAAAAACACTTACAGTTTTCAATTTCTTCTTTCAGCAGTTTCATCTCGTGGGCCAGTTCCATTAATAGCGCTCCCCTACCTTTTGGAAGCGGCAAACCAATGCTGTGCATCTTATTTCTTATCTTGGAATGCATATTTCGTTCAAAATCTGATATAGGCGGCTGTGCTAGCTAAATATATACACAAATAAGTTATTAATGACCTAAATATTTTCCTTAAGCTAAGTATGTCTTGAGAAACTTTGTGATACCTAGTTTCAGTCTGCTTTAGATGGAATTTCCAGACCAAACAAAGAGCCAGTCAGGTTTTGGTAACACACATGTGCTTAGTCCTTTAGGTATCTGGGTTCCAAGAATACTCTAAATTATGTTTTTTCAATACACCGTCACGTCAGTGGATATTTTATTGCGACATAGTGAAGACTTTAAGCTTGGGGTCTTGAAAATAATGCTGGTTGTCCTGTATATCCCCGCATTCATCTTCTGTTTAATATTAACCTATTAAAAGTTTTGGTCGTGCTTATTCTTAATCTGTGTCTTCTCTTTTTCATGAGCTTTATCCTTTAAGGACATTGGTGATCATCACGACCCATTTACCTCTGTCTGTATCAGTTCTGAAGAGTTCTATTGTTATTTTTCCACTCCACTGCTTGAAATTTTTCAACCAGGATATGCGTCGTCACCCTGGGCCTCGTTTTTCTTCTTCTTTCCCTTGTGAAGTAAATCGCATCAACCTCTCGCAGTACTGCGTGGTGTAATCAACTAGAATTTGCAGCTCTACTCTGCTGTTCGCAAGTTATACTGTACCATCTGCATGTATTAGATTATTCACTAGAAACACTAGTGTGTTTATAATGTTTGCATAGTAAATAATGTTGTCGGGATATAAGGTTAGAACTACGCCTGAGAATGCTTCGATGTTACGTGTTCTCTACTCTTCTTTATGGTTTGGAAGCTTGGACACTAAAACAAGTTTATCTGAATAAGTTGGCCGCCTTTGAATTTTGGTGTTACAGAAGAATCCTGCGAATATCATGGATTCAAAGAATGTCAAACATAAAAGTAACTAGAAGGATAGGAAATGAGGCGGAAATAATATTAACTATTAAAAGACGAAAACTTGAGTACTTGGGACATGTGGTGAGAGGGCAAAAATACGCATTATTACAACTTATTATGCAGGGCAAAATCCGAGGAAAGCGAAATGTGGGAAGACGAAGAATAGCCTGGCTTAAGAACTTAAGGGAATGGTTTGAATGCAGTAGTGCAGAACTTTTTAGAGCGGCAGTCAACAGAGTCCGCATAGCCATGATGATTTCCAACCTTCGATAGAAGATGGAACTTAAAGAAGAAAAAGTAAATAACGCCTGTCCAGTGCCAAATTATTTTCTAAATCTCAGGTTTTCTGTTATTCTATCGCCTAGTGTTTTAGAGACACATTCATGTATCACTCGCAACAAGACTTTTGAAAACATGGTTCATTAAGCTGATCGTTCTATATTCTTCACATTTTGTTGCGTTGGTTTTTTTTTTGGATATTGGCATGAATTCAGATATTAAACACTGTTTTGTAATTTCCCAGGTAGAATTTACGATCTGCTACTAGCTGTTCTCTAGGGCACTTTTTCCTCAGTTGTTTTCCAGGTTTTACTCCGCGTTAAGTAATTTTGGTTTTTAGAAAAACCATTGTTTTGACGACGTTTCCGCAAGGTTACACTTGCCATTGTCAAGTTAGATTAGTTCTGCTTCGTCTTGATGTTTCAGGAGAACTGAAGTGATCCATGTAGGTTAAAGTATCAGAGAATTTCCCTTGTATCCTTTTAAAACATCTGACATAGTCAAAAGTATAGATTGCAAAAAAAGTTATATAAAAAATTAACATACGGCACTTAACAGATTAAAATTAAAGGGAATTGACATATCCAAGATCAATGACCAAAGTAAGTTAACCTATAATTCATATAATTAAAATCGAAAATGAATTATTTAAGTAAACATTAAATTTTAAATTTAAATAAAGAAAATGATTAATATAATTATTGTTTTCATGATTTTACCTTTTGGAATATGAAGGGCTGCATTAAAATATACAGAACAGTTCGGTGAGTAACGACGAAATCTAAAAAGTCCCAAACGAATGTGGCAGCTTCATTTCTTTTGCCAAGTTCGCGCATGGTTCTCCCGATCTTCGACCACTCCTTCATCAACTCGCCCTCAAAACATATCGCCATGATTTTTAAAGCTAAAAAAATGAATTGTGTCAATTAGAAGTCTTGGTAAATAAAGGTCTTAACTTTTTTTTATAATATGTTATTATGATCATCAAATTTGAGCAAATATATTCTGATTTCATACACAAAACACTGAATTTCCATATATAATTAATGTCTGCTGATAAAATTACAACATTTTTGTCTGCGATAACCCTTTTTTGCCAGAAGACTCTTTTAAATGCCTTTTAGTCGTACTTACCCAAGAACGCCACTTGATATAAAGATGTTTTGATTTTAGCAGATAATTTCACATCCCTTGTGCCAGTAAAAGTCAAACTTCCAGTTCTATTTTCCGCCGTTGGTTTCACATTTGGTCCTGAAGGATTCAAATTTTTTGTATTCGGTGGACTCATAGCGTGCAATACCAAAGTTAGCGCGAAACTAATATCTGCTTGTTTCATTTGACCAACGTCTACAAAAATTATGTTTTATGTAAAAAACTTTGCTGTACGGATACATCCACAAAAGATAAAATTATTTCAATTAGTAATTTTAGGTCACCTTTCCTTCCAGATCCGACTCGAAGGCACAGAGGCATAATAAGGTTAATAATCATGCTTTCAGTTTTTTCTTGAGATGGAAAAACTGAACTACCACCGCAGACTTGCTCCAAAGTGGATGTGTCCTAAAAGTAAGTTGCATTAATCGTAACGATAAATAATACCCAATACCAAAGAAAAAAATACTTGCAATTTGTGAAGCAAAAGAAAAAACATAAACCGCAATTTGAGAAACAAAAATAAGTTGAAATTTTGAGAATATAAAAACAGCAGTTATAAAAAAAATTAAAGAAAACTATTGCTATTAAAAATAAAGCAAAAATGATGTGGAACCGATAATTTTAAAGCAACATTTAATTCAAGTTTTAATAACAACAAACAAATATTACACCCACATAATATATACATAAATAGTATACTGTTTACCGGGTAGGAAAAGCTTAACATTCCTGGACGACTGTGAAGATTGCTAAGTCGAGGCGCAAGCCGAGACTTAGCAACACAGAGTCCAGGAATGTGGCTTTTCCTACGAGGTAAACATACTACTTTTCCGCAAATCGTTTAAAATTCGACAGATATTGATTGATTTAAAAAAAAACGCGATAATTTTATTCCCAAATAAATGGTTATATATAACCTAATAAAATTACTTGGGTTACTATGGAAACGTATTGAGGTTGAATTGTCAAACTTAATTATCATTTATGTAGAACACTAACAACTGTACGGAAATATCATTTCCTTACAGTAAGGAAATGACATTTCCTTACAGTAAGGAAGTCCTGACTTTTTCTTCAAGAAATTTTGACAGGAATGTCAAAATTTCCTGGCGATTTGCGGAAAAAGATTTTATTCGTTTCCTGTTATTACTACATTAAATAGTTGAATCATTAGAAAACTTTCATTCATTTGTTCTCATTTGTTCACAAGTAGCAAAGCCCAATACATCCCAGCTGAAATTAAAAAGTTGATAGCTCAAAAAAGGAAAGCACCAAATGACACCAAATCCAAACCCCAGCAGACAAGACTACATTAAACAGGCTAAGCAATCAACTAAAATCCAATCTTAAAGAGGCACAAGAACTGACATTTACAAACTACATAACAAATCTAAACCGGTACGATAACTCAATATGGAAACCGATCAAAAACTCCAAAAAACGCTCCAGATATTGAAATTGAAAGGGACATAAATAACATTCCAGAGAACATACCAGTAATCATACTACAAGTTCAACAAGAAATCTAATATTTAAACATTAAAAAAGCTACTAGGCTGAACAAGATAACACCCAAGATGATGAAGGAATTACCAGATAAAGAAATCGCACTTATTACTCTCATCTTCAACGCTATTGTACGATTAAACTACTGGCCAAAGCTCTTTAAAAACGCTGAAACAATACTAATCCCAAAAGCAGGAAAAACCCAAACGTAGTTTCATCATATAGGCCAATAATCCTACTACCAGTCGTATCCAAAATACTTGAAAGGTTAGAGTTACAAAAAATTCACTCAGACCCCAATACGGAGAAATGATACCCAACCACCAATTTAACTTTCGAAAAAAAAACTCGACAATAAAGAGGTTCATAGAATAGTACACATCATAAATTCTGCACTAGAAAGCAAACACTACTGCACAGCTGTTTTTCTAGATGTTAGTTAAGCCTTTGATAAAGTTTGGCACACAGGCCTGATTTTTAAAATCAAGAAATATTTACCCATCACGTACCTGAAACTGTTAAAATCCTATTTGAGTGGGAGAGAATTCAAAACAAGAGTGAATGAAAGTAATTTCAATAAGTTTCCTATAAAATCTGCTGTTCCACAGGGCAGCGTTTTTGGACCAATATTATATGTGCTATACACAGCAGATCTACCCTCCACTAATGACAACATCATTGGCACGTTTGCAGATGATGCTGTCGTCTTTGTAGCTGAAGAAAATCCAATTGTAGCATCTAACATTCTACAGGTACAACTGAATAAAATCGAGACATGGTCTTACCATAAGTGGAGAATTAAAATGAATGTGTGAAAATAGTGTTTGCAGATCTTCTTGACTAGAAGCTAGGAGTACTGTATTGTCCGTATATCGCAAATTATTATTGACTTCATCGTTCACAAGTATTCCTTCTTGTTTTTCAGAAAGTGCTTTGCTGAAAATTTTTTCGGAGTAAACGTTAAAAAGCAGGGTGACAAAAGACATCCCTGCCATACTCCTCTCTTAATATTGAGAGCCTGTGAACCATCTACTAAAACTGACATTGTTTGATTCCAATATAAATTTGCAATTATTCGATCATCTCTGCCGTCCAAGCCAATGTCTTTCAGAACTTCGATCAATATAGAGTCTTTAACACGATAAAATGCCTTGTGGAAGTCAATAAAACAACAGTTGATGTCTACAGATATATTTCGACATCTTTGAGCAAGTACGTTCATTCCAAACAGTGCCTCTCTCATTCCAAATCCTTTAGTAAAATGTATTACAAATGTATTACCTTCAGAAAAATTTTAAATAAGTGGTTGAACAAACTGATAGTTCTATAATCAGCACAGGTTGTTGCTGTTGTCTTCTTAAGTAGAGATAATATATTATAATACTAATTATAAATTATTACTCCAAAAGTGCGGCGAATGCCTGAAAATAGATGTATTTTTAGGCATAAATGAATAAATAAATAGATAAATAAACTTTGTCTATTAGAAGAGAACGAGGTAGATCAAGACGGTCCTAGAGAGAAGATCTTTAAGTTGTAATGACCTCCAGAGATTGCTTCGACAGAAAAGCTGGAAATAAAAATGCGATAAACGGCGCCAGCTGTAGAAAACTCGCCTATTATATACACATTTACATTACAGGAGTACATCTGTTAATAATACAGTGTTCTCGCATTACAGAGTATAGTACTTAGTAAGTCATAAGCAAGTCAAGTTATATTAAAACGAATTTGTGCATGCGTTAGACCATAAATTAAGGCAGTACTTCGAAAAAATCAAAGAAATACTAAACTCTAATGTGTTCTTTGTGACCTTAACAGTTTGGTTTAAATACTTACTTGCATATTTTGAATTTGTAGAGCAATGAGACGCACGACCATTGAGCAAAAGTGTGGTGGAGGAGCTTGTCTCAATAACGCGGCTGTAGCTGAGGTCATACCTTCAGATTGACAATTGTCACCACTTACTACTAAACTCTACAAATGTTTATAAAAATTACGCCAACATATTACGCTATTACTTCAAGTTTCTTACCTGACATGTACTGATAAGTGCTTTAATCTGAGACCAGTGGATTATATATGGATATTTAACCATTGTGTCGTAAATGCCCTTAAGTAATCCCGCTGCTGCATCCCAGTCAGTATTTCTCTAAAAATTATGTAAACTACCGTTAGAATTTTTACAGAATGAAATTTGTTAAGGATCCAGTAAGTCTTTAAACATAGTACATAGATTCCCCCTGGTATTATGTTCAAAAGTTCTGTCGGATCCTTTGATACTTCATTATATGGATTTATTGTCGTCTATTTTCGTTGTAAGTAAAGATTTAATTAAATAATATAAAGAAAAATATAAAAAAATCTCCAGAATACAAGAAAAATTTTGTGTAAGAATTTTTGGGAGTTGATTTTTTACCAAGACATTTTTTAGACCAAGATATGAGAAATATGGAAATATGTGATTGGCGGAGGAAGACGATGGATAGGGACGACTGGAAGAGAATCCTTGGGGAGGCTAAGACCCACACAGGGTTTTAAAGCCAAAATGATGATGATGATAATGATTTTTTACGTTTTTGGCAAATTGAATATCCATAAGAAAAGTACCAAAACTTACCCTTATAGAAGTCTTTTTAGATATTTTTTGGAATACTTTATCTAGTCTTCTGAGAATAGTGACTAAAGCTGGACGCATAGCATCATTAGACCAATCAGTGGATGGTAAAATGTACGTCATATAGTGCTGCAAACCTCTGCACCCCATAGATTCAGGATCGTATGGGGACACTTTCAACAAAGTGTGAGCGATATCAGCTAATCGCTGAAAACAAACCATTTTGTCAAATATAGCAGCAAAATTTATAAAAAAATAAAGAAACTTACCACATGAGACCTAATATCCAACAATTCCACAACTTTTCCATCATTATTATTCTTTTTATTCAATTCTTGCAGTCTTATCGATGCTTTGCACACAAATTCGCCCACTAAGGACAACAATACATCCCGTGGTCTTCTGTACTCAGCTCGTAATACCTCGGAATCTTCCACGTCGTGTTCGTACATACTCTTCGCTCTAGAATGCTCGCTCATAAACTTGGAATGCGAGTCGTCTTCGAAGTCAAACCCTGGAGAATATGGACCTCGACTGTAGTTTCTTTGGCTGGAACCTTTGTGTTCTGGACTTGATCTATGAGGTCCATTGTAACTTCTAAAAGAAGATCTGTATGTATAACACAAAAATTATTTTAAACGTTTGTTAAAATATGTAGTTTCACACAAAAGGGAAATGAAGTTCACAAAGAAGCTAGAACATCCGTAAAGAAATGAAGAAAATAAGAAAGAAAGTTATACCGTAGAACGGGGTGACTTTGTGAACGGGGTGAATTTTTTCCGTATTTTCTAGGTTAACTTCTAATGGGTCATCCCAAAAATGTGGAACAGTAACCATTGGGATGCAGTTTCTCAAATTTTTTTCTCAAAAAAAAAATAAAAAAGTGTATATCAAAGTCACCCTTCTGGTATAAGCTCATTTTGACCATATTGAAATAGCTTAGCAGATGCCAAAAAGCTGTAGTAATATCAATGTCAACCCATTTTTTAATCGATTAAGCCAATTTTTAGATATTTCAATTTTAATTTGGGGGGTGACTTTGATAGCTGCTACAGACACAATAATTAGTGTATAATAAATGATTCTAGAAGTAGCTAATACTTTATTGAGGTAAAAAACATTTTAGCAAACTAGTAAAACAATATAAAATAGTAAAAAAGATCAAAAGAATATATTCTGGAAGGCAAACAAAATAAGTTATTTTTCTTTAACAACAACTCTACCAGCAAATATGCATTTCGTTGCTGTTTCATTTGTTTTGACCAATGGGGTCTTTAGAATTGCTAAGATGTCAGCGAAAGGAGCATTAAAAACGTCTTTCTCCACAACTTTAAAGTGTGTATTTTTGATATTCGCCACAAACGCCTTCCGCTACAATTAATCAACATGCACCATAACAGATGAAACATTTGGGTTGCATACTCTCTTGAAACAAAATATTTATGTTCTATCAAAGTCACCCCATTCTACGGTATTAAGAAGAAATCTAAATATTTACAAGAAGAAACTAAAAGGTTTAAAAAACTGTAAAATTTAAAAAGGCACAAAAAATTGATTCAAAATTCAAAAAGGAATAATTTATTAATGAAAAAATTGCCAAATATTTACAAAGTAACTAAGAACTTCACAAAAAAACTGTGTAATTCGCAAAACGAAACTAAATAGTTTAAACAAATTACTACATTCAGAAAAATCTATGATATTTATAAAAATTTACATAGAAGCTAAAATGTAATACAAAAACAAAAGTGAAAAATTACAGAGAAATTTAGAAATTCACAAAGAGAATAAAGATTCACGAAAAGGAAGTAATGTAAATAAAAAGTACTTACTTCGTTAAAGATTCACAGTTATTCACCAAGGTTTTTATAGCAACTGCAAGTTGATTTATTATATCTTTTTCCTTTTTTCCTTCTTTGTTATATGTTGGATATTGAATTTGCCGCACATAACATGGTAATATTGCTTCCAAAATAATCTAAAAATGATACAATATTGTGTATAATGGTATTTCATAAATTTCAGGTATTTAAAATGCCCTCTGAAAATTGAAACTGTACTGAATAACTAGAGAAGTTACTTAAAAACTAGAAAAAAAGGGTGCAAGATATAGGCCCGGCGCAAATTGAGCACAGCCCACGCACATCCCACGCGTGGGTTATTTTGTAAAACGTGGTTTTAGACGGAGCGACGCATATTAAACCCAAACCACGGCCAGGCTACTGGCAGACTTGGTTGACATGGAATGTGGATAGAGTTGTGCTATAAGATTCGGCATAGCGACTCGGATGTAAGTCGCCGTTATAATTATTCAAAAAAAATTAATTTAAATTAATTTTTCATTAAATCAAATGAGAAATATAACAAATCGAGAACTAAGGAAAAAAAACAAATTTTCATTTCCTAGCAAAATGTATGAACACCTAGGATGAAAACTTCAAAATAAAATTTGATGGTACTTTTTCGTGATGCTCATATTGTAATGGCTTTTATACACTGAAATTAAATTAAAAAAGAACATGAAGAAAGTAGAAAAGTGATAAAAAATTCTCAAATTTAAATTTATCTCGAAAACAAACTAAGATCTGGAATTTTTGTATTTTTTTAGCTCTTCTGTTGTTTATTACGTTATTTCACTTATTTCAACAATACTCTGTATAGTATTTCGTTCGAGGATTCCAACTTAGTACTCTCAGCATTGTAAAAGTTTACAAGAAATTAATATCCGATGGAGTTTTCAAAACGAGCGAAATGAAAGTCGGAATATTCAACGGCATTGTGGCCTGTTATGCTAATTAGTAATTAGAAAGTCAATATCGGCAAAACCAGCTTATTCAAATTATGAGTATCTACCTGTTATAGTCTTTTGTTGAAGGAATTCAAGTTATTACCCTTATCATATGTACAAGTTCTTAAAAAATAATATCAGATTCAGTTTTCAATGAAACAAAAATCTAATATTTAACAGAATTGTTACCATGTAAAATATCTGCTTATTATGCTAATTAGTAATAAGAAAGTCAAATCGGCAAAAGCAGCTTATTCAAATTATATTTATAGTCTTTTGTTGAAGGATTTGATTTCAATTTTTTACCCTTAGCATTTGTGAAAGTTTTCAAGATATTTATATTTTCAGATTAGAAATTGTTAGTGCGATATTAGGTAAAAATTAAAAGGTCTAGAAAATAAAATCTTTATTGAAACTAATACTGAAGACAGTCTATCTTTTCGTTGAATGGTATTTGCGAAAACAATCTCCTATGCATAGTCCAGGTTTTTCGTCACAATCAGCACACTCGTGTTTTTCCTAATTTTATGGATAGAACATCTTCTACACAAATATTTGATATGGGCGTGGGCTGTGTTCAATATGCGTTAGTATTGAAAAACGTGTACTTGGACTAGGTTGGACCATACGTGGGCTGCGCGTGGGATGTGCGTGGGCTGTGTTCAATTTGAGCCAGGCCATAAAAGTAGAATGGATTAAAATATAGTGGCAAATGATCAAAGCAGAAGAACCCTTCAAAATTTATTTTAAATATTCAAATAAAGAGAGTGTATCATTTAATTGTGTTGACGTCTCAAATAAACGTACAGAAGTCTTTCAGATATAGAGTAAATACTTCTACTTAGACATCCTTCATTCTGCTGGAAGATACATAGAGCAGTTAAAATATAAAGACCCAAAGTCTTCTTCCTTTCGACTTCCACTGGTCTATCATGAATTCTTGAAGACACACGTGGAGGCAATAGATAGATAATGATATTGGATCGGAAACAGATGAATAGGTGACTCAAGTGAAAGTTTTATGTTTAAGTTTAATATTTGACATAGTGGCCTAACTGATTTTTTTTTGTATAAGATAAGATTTTTTTAAATCTTTTGCTCATTCGACTCATATAATGTATAGGGTTTCAGAAATGTTTGTGTAAGTGAAAAGAATAATACTGGTTACATTTTTAGCTCAATTTTTTAGTTGCCGATATCTCAAAACATCAATTTTACACAATTCTGAGCCACTCAACCAACTCCGGAAATCATTCTCAAGAAAGAATAATTTATTTTATTTTTTACGCACAACAGGCAATTTTTGTAAACATAATTATAATATTAACTACTTACAATTATTTTAAACAAAACTTTAACTTAAATATGTATATACAACATTCTTAACTACTCTGAAGGATCTGGTGGACAATATTTCTCAATTCGCTTCTATTTTGTGCTTTTCTTTTCCAGTCTCTCACCTTCACGTGTTTAAGGTCTTCCTCCACTTTATTAATCCACCTCGTTCTGGGTCTACCTCTTCTTTTGGGGCCGATTAGTTTTCTGGTTATTACTAGTTTGGGCATTCTGTTCTTCTTCCATTCTTTTCACATGTTCCAACCATCTGATTCTTTGTGATTTGACGAACTTGATAATGGTAGGTTCTTTGTATAAAGCCATTAATTCATTGTTGGTTCTTCTCTCCCAACCATCTTCTGTCTTCCGTCCTTCAAATATGCGTCTCAGTATTTTCCTTTTCCATCTTTCCAGAGTATCCTCTTCCTTCTTATTTAATATCCATGTCTCACTGGCGTATGTTACTGTTTGTCGAATTACTGTTTTATATACTCTGAGTTTACCTTCTCTAGAAACGTATTTTGAGTTCAGTAGGGTTCTTAAACTACCTAACTTTTTATTCCCTTTTGCTATTCTGGCTTCCACCAGAAGCATTTCCATTTTCATCGAAAACTACACCCAGGTATTCAAATTTATCCACCCTTTTAAAACTATAGCTTTTATCACTTACAGACCTCACACTAAAGTCTTCTTTTTTCCCTTCTGTTCCTCCCATGATCATATATTTGGTTTTGTCTTCATTTAGTTCCAATCCAAATTTTTGTGCTTCTTCGATGATTTTCTTTACAACTCTTCTTAATTCTTTCTCCATTTTTGCTAGGATCGTTGAATCGTTAGCAAATGCCAAGCACTGGTGCTCACTTTTCATGATTGTTTCTTCCACCTTCATGTTACTTTTTCTAATTACAGTTTCTAACACTAAGTTGAATAATGTAATGGATAAAGGATCTCCCTGTCTCAAGCCTTTTGCAACCGTAAATTGATCTGATATGTGACCCTGCCACGTAATTTTACACTTAGAGTTATTTAATGTAATTTTTACTAGCCGGATTAGTTTCTTTGGTATACGCAAATCTTCCATTGCACGATACATTTTGACTATATCGACTCTATCATATGCTTGTCTAAAATCCACAAACAAAACATGCAAAACTTTCTTCTTTATTAATTTAATATTTAATATTTAAGAAAGATTAATAATAAAATAAAATAAACAAAATTAAAAATCCTAAAAAATAATCTCAGACCTATTTGCAGCAGCATGGGTTCTCCATGCAGCAGACTGTTAAAGTTCCTCCTAGAAATAATACAGCCTGTAGCACAGAACAATTCTTTTATTAAAAACTCACAGCAGTTCTTGCAAAAACTAGCAAAAATAATTAGAAATCTTAGTCAATCTTATAGAATAACACCAACTAATAGTTCTTACCAGCATCTGGTATCCTCTAACACTTTCTGAAGAATATGAGACTACCATCACGCACATAGAAATGCAGTCCAAGATGGTAACCATCTCATTCTCGTCGTGGTAGCAAAAATCGATAGCTTTTAATGGTTTATCTTCTTTAACCAATTCTGCGATATTTAGCGGATCAGGAGATGGCGTTTCCAGACTAAGAAGTAAATTGAAGAGACAACTGGATTGAATCTGGAAATATAATAGTATTAAGAAATATTGCTATCATTATTTTGCAGTAATCTTTTTCGAGTACATGTACCTTATGGGCATCTCCGTACGTTCCGTCTTCATCCGTGTCCAACATTGCAGACACTGAGCCAAACATTTGTAATATGAATGGTTTCCTGTTCATCAAATAAAATTGTTTTACTGCGTATTCAATTGTAGTCGTCACCAGTTGATTGGTTTGATGGTTGGAGTAGATCTTCAGCAAAGTAGGCATGATTAGTAAATAACTGCAATAAAAAACGTGAACTTAAATACACAACAATTAAAACTATTAAATAGATTGTGTTTAAGAAAAGGAAGAATTCTAATTCCAACGCCACAAAAGATGATTATGTCATATGGAAATAATGTGATAAAAGGAATCCGTAGGCAGACTCTATAAAGTTATTTCAGGCTGTAGGACATAATTATCGTTAAAGACCTCGTTTTCGATGCTTTTCTAATAAACAAATATTGAAACAGTTCCAACCAAACCAAAAAATAAGCCAATAATTTTGCATTGACGAGATTTTTGAAAAACCAAAAGACACCCCAATAAAAAAATTTGTAAAATGTACTTACCCATTCGTCGAAAATATGTTTTTAAAATGAAACGCTGCATTGATATACGTTGCGGTGACGTATCTCAAAATGCAGGCGTCTTCCGAATGCAGAACCAAAGCTCCATTAAGCACGTTCACGAAGAGATGAATATCCCCTGAGTAAGCAAAGTTGCCAGCCATTGCCTCGAACATTCTAGCTATCAATCTTACCCACATAAATTTGTGTAAAACGTCCAATCCAAGTAGTTCTTTACCTAAAATATTCAGGCAATTTGCTACAGTTTCGTATTTTATACATAATTGATTAATAGAATAGAATAGAAATATGCTTTATTATTACTGAAAATTATTGAACAATTTTATGGACAAAGCTAAAAAAAATCAGTCAAAAAGTACACAAAGTATAAAACAAAAACAAATATAATAAAAAAACAAAACAATACAATTTTAAATTAGTAAAATTATTGTGTAACTTACATAATTTGTACAGATAACAACAAATGAAACAAATTGTAGCCACTGCTTGAGACACCCAAATGTAATTATAAACAATACTAATTTTGTTTCTTTGTTATACATTAAGAAACTGATCAACTGAATAATATGGTCTTTTAGACAGATGTTGCGGATTGAATTTCTCTTGGAAGGTGATTATAAAGTTTTTTTGCACTATATAGAATAGAATTCTTTACTAGCTGAGTGGACGGAATCGGTAAATAAACGTTACAATCCGAATTTCTAATGGAGTAGCCATGATCAGGTCTATCGGGAAAAATGTTTAGATGCTTGCGAATCAAACAAACCGTTTCCAAAATAAATAAAGAGGGAAGCGTCAAAATTCCGCGATTTTTGAAGAAGGTTTTGCAATGAGTTGTTTGTTTGAGACCAAATAGATAACGAATTGCTCTTTTTTGCAACCTAAAAATAGTATCAAATTGTGCCGCTGTACTAGAACCCCAAAATGGGAGCCCGTGTCGAAGATGGGACTCGAACAATGAGAAATATGCCATTTTGACAGAAGATAAATTTAGTTCCTTCGAAACAGATCTTATTGCAAAGCAAGCTGAGGCTAGTTTCTTCCTTAAGGAGTCAGTATGCAAGGACCATTTAAGATCACTGTCGATAAGAATACCTAGAAATGTTACGGAATTAACGATACTGATTTGGCTCTCATTCAAAAGCAAAGGTTGAATGACTCCTTTATAAGATAATGCTACTGTCTTATCCACGTTAAAGCTAAGTAAGTTGGAGTCAGACCAAGCCTTGATTATAAGCAAATCAGCGGTTATAATTGAATGAAGCGTTGAAATATTAGAATTGCTCCAAGTAATACTGGTATCATCAACAAATAGAAAATTTTCCCTTTAATTTTCAAGTAAGTGATGTCATTAAGAAAAAATAAAAAAGAATGGGATCTAATACTGAACCTTGCGGTACTCCACACTTAATATCTTTACAACTAGAGTCGGTGTCTTTTATTCTAACCAATTGTTTCCTACCTACCAAGTAAGTTTTGAACCAATTCAAAGACACACTCCGAATTCCATAGAAAGTTAATTTTTTATGGAATTTACGTGATTTACGAAGTCAAAGGCTTTGGAATAGTCGCAGAAAACGGTGGCGGAGGAGAGGTTACTATTTAGTAATAGATATACCTCATGTAACACAGAAAACATGGCATCACTAGTTTATTTATTAGATAAAAAGCCGAACTGACGAACTTTTGCGATAAAATATTATGTTTAAGAAGAAAGGGTAAAAGTCGAACTTTTATAAGCCTTTCAATAATTTTTGATAGTGCTGGTAACAAGGCAATATGTCTATAGTTGCAGGCATCAGATTTTTCTCCACCTTTTTAAAAAGGAATAACGATGGAAGTCTTTAGGCAGTTAGGGAATGTACCTTTCTCAAGGGAATCATTTACTAGAGAGACCATGACCTCCAAAACATTATGCGGAAGATTTGAGAAAATTTTAATAGATAATCCATCTGTACTACAGGACGATTTGCTTTTTATATTACGAATTGTTCGAATGAGTTCAGTCTTATCAACTGGTCTTAAAAGAAAGGTATCAGCAATGTTTTTTTGAATTAGGGAGATAGGAAACTGGATCTTATTGTGGTGAAATAGTTGAGGTTATATTTTTACTCACATTAACAAAGTAATCATTTCGACTTTCGGAGTTAGGAAAAGAAATGCGAATGCCCTTGGTAATCCAAGGTTTGTAATGTTTTGGCCTGATGTTTAATAGAGGAAATGCTTTATTAAAAATAGATACAAGTCTATTTAGAAAATCACTAACATTACAGTCAATGTCCCCAGAAGAAAAACTCCAGTCAGAAGTCAAGCATGAATTATAGAATTTACGAAAGTTTTGAGTGGAAAAATTTTTGAGTGGGGTGATTTTAAACTACTAAACTTGGTATATACCGCTTCATGATCAGAAAGCCCCCAATTAATAACTGTAGAATGGACGTCAGCGGGTGGAAAATCAAAACCCACATAATCAATTGTCGATGATGATGTTTTTGAGATTCTTGTTGGAGAATTAACGTGCATTGTGAGACCATATGATTTAAAAATAGTTACCAAAGAAAGTTTCGTCGCACAAACAGCAGCGTAGTCTCACCACATAAAATTTTTCTGCTGAAGAAAAATCATTGTTATTAGAAAGAATCAGAGTGTCACCATGAGCTGAACTAGAATGATCATACCTAGCAGTTGTGGTATATTCTTGAATGAAAATTGGCTCATTAACTTCAAGCCAGTGCTTCGTCACTGCAACTAACTGCGGAAACCCTTATTCTTTTAGAGACAAAAATATAGTTTTTTTAAGAGTTAAAATACAAGACGTAGAAGCTGTGCTACTAAATAAGTTGGTATTAGGCGAGGTTCCTTTTGGATCCTTAGTTAAACAAACTCATAACAAAATGTATTCCAATTCACTGTATTAGTTTATTTATCTAACAATTTTTGTTTGTCAGTTTCTTTGTAAGTTTACTTACCAAGTGGTCCGCTTTTATATAAATCCAAATCAGATTCCAAAGCTTTCCTAGGGAACGATGGTAGCTTCATCAATTCCTCGTGTAGAAAAACCACTCTTTGTACCACCATATCCACATTCTTTAAAATAGCCCATGTTAAAAGAACTTTCCCTATTTCCACAAATTTGTGCAACAATTCTTGTTTTTGTAGAGCGTTAAAAGCAACGTCTGGTTTCATATGGACAAGCTCCAGTTGTGGGTACTGCGATCTTTTAAAAAAATAATAATCACGGACGTAAGATGAAGGATTTCGAATTTGATCTAAAAATAATCTCCGTATAGTAATAGAAATATAGATATTTTTGATACTTACGAGTTTTGTAGTCTACCAAGAAAAATTCTTTATGTTTTGATTCTTCTATACCAAAAAAATCCAAAGCTTCTCTCAATATTTGACAAAATTGTGTATCTTCTTGAACAGGGAACTGGGATGGAATTCCTCCTGCATCTGGATCTAAAATTAGAGAATAAAAGCACTAAAAAATAATAAAAACTGTACGAAATGTTTATAGAAATATTCAAATGAATTAACTGGTATAAATACAAATACATAAATAGTTTGTACGTTATTATTATGAAGGGGTCTAAATTTCTTTCTATTTTTCTGAATCAAAATTTGTTTTTCTGATCTCTTGTTATATAATTGTAAATGACAGAAGAGCGCCATTATGTAAAATATTTTAAATTGGACTATATGGTGAGTAACCCTTCATTTGAAAACTTTGTCTTCTATGGGGCGATTTCAAAATGGCTATCATTTAATTTTTGAAAATGGCAATGCAATGGTTTAAGCGTTTTCCATAAAGAATAAACTTCTATGAAGAATAAATTTCTCATCACATGTCCCAAGTACTCAAGTTTTCTTCTTTTAATAGTTAATATTATTTCCGCCTCATTTCCTATCCTTCTAGTTACTTCCATGTTTGACATTCTTTGAATCCATGATATTCGTAGGATTCTTCTGTAACACCAAAATTCAAAGGCGACCAACTTATTCAGATGAACTTGTTTTAGTGTCCAAGCTTCCAAACCATAAAGAAGAGTAGAGAACACGTAACATCGAAGCATTCTCAGGCGTAGTTCTAACTTTATATCCCGACAACAAAGAAACTTTTTAAGTTTAATAAATGATGTACGTGCTATTTCAATACGTGTCTTAATTTCTTTGGTTTGGTCTACATCTGATGTTATCCATGTTCCTAAGTATTTATAGTTATTAACACTCTCAATTGCAGTATCTTCAGTAGTCAATTGGATATTTGCATGTGCAGATTTAGTCATAATCATGCATTTAGTTTTCTTTAAATTTATCTTTAGTCCGTACTCATGACAGCGTTCATTAAGGCGTTGCATTGCGTTCTGTGAATCATTGTTGTTATCCGTAATTATTACTGTATCGTCTGTAAAACGTAAGTTATTCAAAACTTCTCCATTGATAGATATACCTTCTATTGAGTCTGAGAGCGCTACTTGAAATACCGCTTCACTGTAGACATTTAAAAGTAGTGGGGACAGCACGCAACCCTGGCTGACTCCTCTCTGTATTTTGATATTTTCGGTGTACTGGCTGTCAACTCTTACCTTACGTATCAAAATGAAACAAGTTTATGGAATTCTACAGCACCAGAGCATAAGAACCGGAATATATACGATGCATGGAACCGAATAAAAAATCAATTGAAGAATAGTACTATTTTGCTTAAAGACTTAAAAAAAGAGAGAGACAATTTAATGTCGACATACAGAAGGCAAAAAACAAAAGTAAAGACCTACACAGATTGTCACGGGCTGTAGGAAGAGTTCTGTCTGCGGTACGTTGTCATCATTGCTCATCAGCTGTGTGCGACGATCTGTAGAATCGCCGATCGTGGGAAGCTGCTATAAGTTAGTAAGGAACCGTAGTTATCGGTGATTTGTAAAAACCATTCTACTATGCCTACATTCTTTAACTACAAAAAATTGCCTACATTCTTTAACAATTCGTTGTTTCAAAATGTCAATATTATCGGGTCACTATGTAAGCTTTAGATTTCAAGTATCCCCACAAAAAAAAATCAAATGGCGTGAGGTCCGGTGACCGAGCTGGCCATTCTATCGTACCTCGTCGTCCAATATCTATCACGATATTCCTCATCTAGGTAACGTCTTACTGCACCTTAGTGGTGTGAAAGAGTACCATCTTGTTAAAATGTTATTTCCAAGTTGCCAAATTCATCTAGATTAGCCTTCAGAATTATTAACGATTTAATTGCATTTTGTAACATCTCTAGATACAATTCACCGGTTAAGTTAGTATTAAGAAAAACAGGCCCAACTTGTGGTTTCAGAAACATTTGTTTTTTTTTAAATTGAGTATGTGTTTTGATGAGAAAAACAACTTGACTCAACTTAAATTTACTAAACTAAGCAGAAACAGAAACTAAATATTGAGCTACAAAACTTTTGAAAAGTAAAAACAATTAGAGAATTGACAAACGTCAACTTTTTTGACACATAACCAAAGGTGGACATTAGAATTTTTAATAATTAAATGTAAAACTAGAATTTTAATATTTATTTAATTTATTCGTCAAAATCACCTTAAATCCAAACAAAATTAGTATGATTAAATCGGTATATTAAAATAATTGTAGTTTCACATAATAAACTTCACTTATATTCACTTAATAAATATTCTAACCTTCGCCTTTGGTTAATTGTCAAAAAAGTTGACGTTGACGTAAAAACAATTAGAAAAACATCAACTTTTTGACAATTAGCCAAAGGCGGAAGTTTTAATATTTAATAATTAAACGCAAAACTACAATTTTAGTGTTTATTTAATTTATTGATCTAAATGAGCTTAAACTCAAATAAAATAATTATGGTTGAATAGGTATTTTCATACCTTTCAAACGAGGTATCACTTGCCATGAGGTCCTATTTAAAATTATCTGTCACTGTAGCGTCATCTGTCATTATTACGTCACTTATTATAACCGTTCAAAAGATACTAGGGGGAACGGACTTTTAAATAGCACTGGATACAAAAAAAGCTTACCTTGTGGACCGTGAACGATAATTTTCTTTGCAGACGGAACGTTTGCCGTTAACAAAATGGACGCATCGCATTGTTCTTTGCGTAGAATCTGTTTGAGATCTTTAAACATAATTCCATGGACGCTATGAACAACCTTAAAAAGATAACAAATATTTTGAATTGGTTCAAAGAAAGCTTTTTCTCTTTATATGGTTTTAACGAAAGTAAACTTTACTAAAGCACAAAAATCAACAACGGAATGAAGAAAGTTAAATTATGTTAGGTTGGGTTATGTGAAATAAAGAAAAAGTAGCTTTTGTGATATTTAGACGTAACAATGAACAAATGAATTTATTTGGTCAATATAAAATTCAAACTTTATTAGGAAATTAAACATCACAAATATAAAATAATTCATTTACAATTTTGCAAAACAAATTTACCTATCAAGTTTTTCTGCCCCTAGCAGTAGCTCCAAATATTTGAGATATTTAAGGACCAGCTCTAAGATGTTTTAATGCTATTCGAAACTGAAAAATCCAGAAAGATCCCTATATCTAGATGTGGAGAACTAATGAAGACAATTACTGTCTTATTCAATGCAAAAAATTCGTGTCGCTAAAGTGGAATTGGGCAGCTTATCAGATAATCGATGGACAAGACGTATTGTCGAGTAAAGGCCAGGACAAGAAGCTCTATAAAGCAGTGCATGCCCACTTTATAGAGCTTCTCTTGTCTAAAATGGTAACTGGATGCAAGCCGCACAAGGCAGAGACAGATGGAAAGAGCTGAGGCAGACTTATGTCTACCAGTGGATACATAGGTTGATGATAATGATTCAGTGCAGATACTTGTTGTTAACAATACTTGTCCCAACTATAAACATCATAAGGAAGACAGTTTTTGTTGTAAAGGTCTGCTTAAGAAGTGAACCCTTTATTACTTTAATGAGCTATTCAAGTCTTAAATATAAATAAAATTCTTTTCCAACAAAAAAAGACAGAAATTTTTGATACCAAGGTACATACCATCCACAAAAGTGATAGAGCAGCCCCAATCAACTTCTGACCATCTTCATGTGGAGATCTTACGTAGAACATCACGTATCCAATTATATAATTATATAGAGCAAAAGCTGCTTGTTGTGGTAGCTTTGGAATAAATCTGATCAAATGTCTTAATATTTTGAACATTAGTTCTTGTTTTTCTCTGGTTAGTCTTTCTAAAATATATCTAAAAAAAGGAATGTGTTATATAAGCACCTAAAAATTATCTAAAAGCTTAGACGGATAAGTATTTATTTAAAATGAATTTATGCATACGGCTTAAAAAAATTCGCTTCTCTCTGATAATCAGGATCAAAATGATTTGGCTCTGGAAGGGCTCTTCCTTGTATTTAAACCTTAGATGGTTCTTTAAACCTGGCGTGTTTTAACTAAAATTTAAATTTGTTAATCTGATTTTTAGCTTTTTATAATATATCAATGTTTTCTGAGTCATTGCTGGCTTTTAAACACCTTGAAGTTCTCGAAAAAGCGGTTAAAATATTGACCATATCTTTAACATATCTTTTTATACTAGAGAAGAATACTGATACAGAAATTTATTAAATTGTTTTATATTTTTAGTACTGACGTTTGGTAAATAGTTTGGTAAATAGTAAATGGTCGCATATTACAGTTCTCACGTCATTGCTTCAGATTTCCTTATAACTTTTGTTAATCAATTCTTGTGCGGAACAAATTTATCTGAGATATAGGAACGGGAGACCTCTACATAACAGTTTACGATATACATCAGTAGATACCCATGTCTAATAATAGATGGTTTGTATATTAATTTTTATATAACATTTTACACCTCACCATGTACATTAGATCGTTTGGTCACTGTGAATATAAAGCTCATCTGGTACGCCGACATAATCTGTTATTCTGTATTCGTTAAATCCTATCACGTGACGTCTCACGTTATAATCGGAGCAATAGAAGCGAAGATACATCTACAGATTGAACGAAATAAATTCGGAACATAGGAATATAATGTATTTCGGCTCAATTCTGCGGTAGGAGGTTGGCCAACAAAAGGTTGTCAAATAATTATATTATAAAAACCCAATACTTCTGCGGGCTGCTGGATTCTGAACTCATAAAAATTGAAAGCTACACATAAATCTACGATTTTATTATGCTGTCAAACCAGTTATAGTCCAGGAAATGAAGTATTTCACCTCGCAATTTTTTCGTGCTGCGTGGGTTGACTTGAAATTTAACAGAAGGTAGGTAATAGCCTAAGGATCAAAATCTATATCGAACCAAAGTGCGCCAAAGCCTAGGGGGTGGTTGCCACCCCATCTCCGGGTTGAAAATTTTTTTTACGTTTTAACTACAGGTTTCGATTAAAAAAGTGATTCTAGACAAAAAATGTGCTATACATTTTTTTTATAAAATGATATTTTTCAAGTTATTCGCGATTAAAAGTAACAACTTTTAGATGAAAAAAATCCACGTTTTTAATCGATTTTTCGCGAATAACTCGAAAATGGTGCATTTTATCAAAAAAATTGTAGAGAACAAATTTGTAGCTTTTAAAAAGACAAATACAATTCATTTTTAAAATGTTTTTGCGATATAATAGGAACCGAAATTCGCCCTATCAATGTTCAGAGGTTTTCTTCAAATGCCAAATTTGAAAGATTCAAAGTCAGATATCGGGAAAATGATGCATTTTTGGAAGACAACTCACATGACCTTTTTTAAAGCATAAATAGACCTATCATAAAAAAAGACTCTAGCTCAAAAATTGAGTGAGTTATGATAAAAATAAGGTCAATACCTCATTTTTTACGAAAAAAATCGATGAAAACAACCCCCTAACCACCCTCGTAATTAAAATCGATCTTCACCCTTCTGCAATTCCCTTTGTACATGTATTGTTAATACGTCCAAAAAGTTTGACCCATTTAAAATGCTTAGTTTTAGAAAAAGTACAGCTTAAAACGAGAAACGATTTACAATTTCATATTTTTTACCCTCCTTTTTTTAAATATGCCCGAAAATACTGAATATATGAAAAAAATAAAAACTTCCAAATTGTAGCTTTTTTAATGACTAAAATTATCCTTTATCTAGATTTGTTGTACAATGAATATTTGGCGAGATATAGCCGTTTAAAGCATCGATTTACGATCAAGCACCATCTTTTTCGATCCCTTTAAACTAACCCCATTTAAAAACCAACGGTTCCAAAAAGATTTAATTCACAGATCCTTGTAGCTCTTAAAAACCTCTACAAATCGTTTTTGAAGAAACACTCTATCGTTAAAAATTAAAGGAAATACGTTAAAAAAACCAGTTAATTTTTTTCCGGAAAATTCCATTAGTATAGTACAGTACATTTCGGAGCATAATAATCTACAAAACCGGTATATTAGCTAGTGGGGCGTTATACATTCGAAATTTTAAGCGTTCTTATTTTGAAATCCCATAAAACAGAATAAAACATCTGCTCATATGTCTATGGCTTGGCAATAAAAATATCAGAGCAACAGATTGGGGATGGTATTCCAAAGATGGGTATATTATTACCTGTACGCATGAACAAACAACCTGCACCCGATGAACTTTTGAAAATTATTTTTTGCCAATGCAAAAAAGGATGCGGCGTTTCATGTGGGTGCAGAAAAGTTGGTTTATACTGTAACTCTACTTGTTCTGGGTGCTCAGGTGAAGGGTGCAATAGTCCACCAATAATTGAAGAAGATGAGGATGACATAGATCACGATGAAGATGTAATTGATGGCGAATAAAATTAATATTATAATTGTTTTACCTATAAATGTAAATATTTTCAACTATTTATGTAAATGTATAAGAATATAATTATGGTGCCTTTTTATGTTGATAAATTTTTTTGTATTTAATTCTACTTTTTTCAATTTATATCTTATAAATTAGTTTATAAAAACTGCACTCATTACAATTGATTTTTAAGGGTTGAAAATGTATGAATTTGTATTTTAAAGTATAAAAAAATCACTATTTAACTATTCCAAACCAAATTTCACTCATCTTAAGATTTGTAATATTATTTTACAATTTTTGAAAATTAGGGGTAGTTTTCAGCCCTAAGAACAATCAGGGTTCATCGGCATGACATAAACTATAAAGCAGAGGGTGAGTTGAGCTTAATTCCAAATTTTTATGCAAATCGTTCCAAGGTGAAATCATTTTCTTCGCATTACTAATTTTTTTATATTAATCTCTAATAAGGGTCGCTTTTTAAGGGTTGAAATATGATGGAACTTTATTCAAAAGCACGAAACTATCATTATTTAATTAATTTAAACCAAATTTTACCCATATTCAGGTTTAATATGTTATTTTATAATTTTTGACTATTAGGGGTAGTTTTCACCACTAAAAACAATCAGGGTTCGTCGACATGACATAAACTATAAAGCAGTCGGTGAATTAAGCTTAAATCCAAATTTTTATCCAAATCGATCCAAGGATAAAACATTTTTTTAGAATTAGTAATTTTTTTACATTAATCTCTAACAAGGGTTGCTTTTTAAGGGTTGAAATATGATGGAACTCTATTCAGAAGTATAAAATAATCATAATTTAACTAATTCAAACCAAATCTTACCCATATTCAGGTTTAATATGTTATTTTATAATTTTTGACAATTAGGGGTAGATTTCACCCCTAAAACCCTTCAGCGCACTTCGGTTCGATATAGATTTTGATCCTTGGGCTATCACCTACCTTCTGTTAAAATTTCAACTGGATACATGCAGGACGAAAAAATTGCGAAGTTTTAACTTTTTTCGAGCATCACTTCCTGAACTATTATCACTGCCTTAGACAAACCCGTCTTACGCAAACAACATTGTTACGAGACAGATAGTTGAACGATATTTTATACAATGTCTATACCCAGGTATGGATTTATTTTTGTCCAAGTTTTATATTGGTCCACTATTTCAATTGCAGTTCAAACAGACATATATTAAATTGTATGTTCCGTTTTAATTTGGTTCAATCTGTATGTGCTTTTTATGCAAACCGACATATTTTATTTTTGTTAACGCTAACATACTCCTTCTCCACTCCGTCTTCCAATGAGGCCTTTTACATTATGATCAGACGAGCCTACCACCAAAACAGTCAAAAAGAGCAAGAATGACCCTTAAGTCTTGCTGCCTCGTTCCTTTGAAGTTTTTCCATGAGAAACGAAAATGTATTTAGTACTGGTTGAGCTATATTATAGTTAAGCTATATTTAAAATCTCTTTAACCAACTACCACCCAGTTGCGTTACTTTTGTATTCTAATTTTCTTTAAATTTGTTGGCAGGATCTTTATTTTTGTGGTTTCAATGTACGCGTTTTATTTTTGGTCTATGCATGTCTACCATGAAAGGTAGAATATATTGAGTGTTCATCCTTACCAAACTTTTCAATCAATAAAAAATATTCGTTTTATTAGAAAAACCTGAAGAACATTCTAGCAACAATCAGCAGTTTTTAGTAATATGGACATAAATATTAATATACATACCTTAAAAATAGAGCACTATCTTCTACTAAACACGTCCAAATCACCTGGTAAGCGACTTCGTAGACAGCGTTTCCATCAGCTGACACTGCAGCGTCGTCCAGGAGATTTATTATTTGAACTACAGCAGAACAAAGACATGACGGAAACAAAGAGTGCGCCGAATGGAGATGATGACCAGTATTTCTTGGTTGGCCGTCAGCTTGTTCATCATCAGCTAAAATTATTATTATATAATATTACGATTTACAGATGCAAATATTATATTTACTATCAGACAAATGCTAGAAAAGTATTTGGAATATAATAAAGAAGTACACCAGATCTTCATAGATTTCAAACAAGCATATGATTTCATAGATCGCTTAAAACTGTGGAGTGCAATGATGGAGTTAGGCGTACCAAAGAAGCTGACCATGATTGCGCGAATGTGTATCAACAATTCCTTTGCACAAATTAGAATAGGAGGCAAAACTTCAAAAGCTTTCGGCATAAGCACCGGGCTCAGACAGGGAGACCCGCTGTCCTCATTACTATTTAACCTAGCATTGGAATACGCAATGCGAAAAATCTATACCAGAGTCAAGCCAGACATAACTGCCAGAGGAGCAAAGATTATTCTCGCATTTGCAGATGATGTAGATGCAGTAGCACAGACAACACTGGAAGTTAAGGATATATTATCGAACTTTGAAGAAGCAACACTAAGCGTAGGCCTGAAAATAAACGAAGAAAAAACTAAATACATGGTCGTATCAAAAAAGGAATGACAGCGAATAAGACAAAACATTACCATAAACGATCATAATTTTGAGATGGTCAAATAATTCAAATACCTAGGAGCAACAATTACCAATGAAAACATAGGAGAACGGGAGGTTGAAATACGAATACTGGCGGGGAATAAATCATTCTTTGGCATTCAACATCTAATGAGGTCAAAGCTTCTCTCAAGGCGTGCCAAAATCCAAATGTACAAAACCATAATACGACCAGCAGTGACATATGGAAGTGAAACATGGACATTGAGAAAGAAAGAAATCAATAAGCTATTAGTATGGGAACGCAAAATCGTGCGAATTATATATGGTCCTTGCAGGGACAGCGTGACAAATGAATAGAGGAGCAGATACAACAATGAAATAGAGACTCTCTTCGGGAAAGGAAACATCGTAAGATACATAAAAGCCAATAGATTAAGATGGGTAGGCCACGTGGTACGGAGTGATCACGACAGACTGATTAGCAATGTGTTTTGGGAAAGACCAGATGGTAAAAGATCGACGAGAAGGCCTAGAAAAAGGTGGAAAGACGCAGTCAGGGAAGACCTGGAGAAGATGGAAGTAAGGCCATGGGAAATAATAGCACAGGATCGGAATCAATGGAAGGCAATAGCAAACGCGGCAAAAACTCACGAAGAGTTGTAAAAGCCAATGATGATTGATGCAAATATTATACAAATTACTACAACCAACAATTTATATACACGAGAATTATGAAAAATATGTATATTCATTAATTTATTCATAGCTCTACTATAGAGCTGAATCGTGGACATTAAACCGGAATACAATAAATCGACAGAGGGAAATGAAAAATAGAATAAAAGAAGGGAAATTGCAACATCTATGCGTATGGACATAAGATGAGATGCGAAAGATATAACATCTTGAGACTCATAATTCAAGGAGAAATACAGGGGAGGAGAAGCGTAAGAAAACGACGCGTTTCCTCGTTGAAGAATCTGAGAGAGTGTTTTGGACTCTCTCAGATTCTCTCCCAGGTGGTTTTGTTGCAGCTCAAGGCAATTGTTCAAAGCAGAAAGGCGATGGATAGGGACGACTGGAAAGAAATTCTTGAGGAGGCTAGAATCTACGCAGGGTTGTAAGGCCAGAATGTTGATGATGCCACAACTCTATGAAATGAATCAACATTTGAACTATAAAATTGAATACACGTTTTTAATTAGCAGAATGGTTTTTTAGCCAATAGCATCGAACAAAATCGAAATTGATTCACAATACACTTCATTAAATCTTCAACAAGAGGCTCAAGTATAAATATAAAAATTTTATCCTATGAACCCTCTTCTTATATTATTATCCTGTGGTTAACATCTTTTGGCAATGTAAAACAAAATCTTCGTCTGGCACTGTTCAAAATATAGTCATTTGATTAAAAATGTAAAAGAAGTGTACTAAAACAATATCCAAACTGAAAATTAATTTCACTATATATTAGTTTGTCTTTTATCAACTAACCTTCTTCGTGTTCTTCTCCAGTGTGGTAGAGACTAGGCTCATGCGCAGCTTGGATGGTTATAGGAATGGTAGTTATTAAGAAGTTTTCCCTTTCTTCCCTCTTTTTATCATCTTGTGCTTGCAGGGCCATTTTGATTAGTTCAGTTTGCTGCTTCTTTCTAGTTTTGGTAGCTGTTACTAGAGAGCGCTAAAATAAGTATACCTAACTTTTAGAATGGATGAAATTTTATTATATAAATTTGCAATGATTTTTTTAACGTTTGATGATAAAGATTTACAACTTTTGTACTCGATATTAAAAGGTATTTGATATTAAAATTTTAAGGTTAAGTGAGTATGTTAAACTATAAATTACATTATTTAATATTGTTCTGAAGCTATTTTATATCTAAATGATATAAACGATAAAGAAGAGAAAATAACATTTACTATGGAAAAGGAATATAATAACACGCTACCTTTCCTGGATGTTTTAATCTCTAAGAACGATACTGGATATGAAACTCAGGTGTATAGAAAACCAACACACACCAATAGATATTTAAATTTCAAATCAAATCACAATATTAATGTAAAAAAGGGAATAATTAAATCCTTATAGGATAGAGCCAAAATTACTTGTTCTAACGAAAATTCGTTCTTGGAGGAGAAACATTTGTTAACATCTGTTTTATTAAAAAATGATTACCCTTTATCGTTTATAAATAAGGAATTTTCAACAATCGATCGAATAGAACAGAACAACTTATAACAAGATCCTACAGCATACACAAAGAATAATACGATGAAAATAACAATACCGTACATAAAAGGATTATCAGAAAAACTTAAAAGGATAGGCAATAAATTCAACATTTCAACAACATTCAAAACAACAAACACGTTGAGATCTATTTTGTCCAAAACCAAACCTAACAATGAACAAGAAAGGACAAAGAATTGCATTTATAAAATACCTTGTGAATGCGATCAGTTTTATTTAGATGAAACATCAAGGCCATTGAATGTTAGAATAAGTGAACATCAGTCTTATATTAAAAATAAAGAATTTTATAGATCTCAAATATGTAAACACGTATGGGATAATGAACATAGGGTCCAATGGAATAATTCAAATGTAGTCCTAAAAGAGACGGATGGTAAAAAAAGAAAAATCAAAGAAGCGGCTTTAATTATGCTAAATGAGGCCAATTGTGTCGCAATTCCTCAGGAACGCAACTCAACAATATTGGCAATATCATTTTAAAATCGTCCACTTTAAAATGCATAATGTATGTCTGAATTGTCAATATAAATGAGTCAGATAAAATTAAATTATTAGAAGAATTTTTCACTATGTAACAAAAAACAAAATTTGTTTAATTTACTGTTTGTATTTTGAGAACGATTTCCGAAGTGGAAATTGAAACGTCAATAAACGAATTTTTATCTTTAATTGTGGCTTATTCCCAATTAAATAGTAATTTACATTATTTAAATAAAAATAATGAACTTTTATGATCACATTTTCATAGATTTCTTAATTTCTTTTGGTATATTATGGTTATTCTCAGAGTCTTTTTGAAATGTTTTAATTTTACAAAATTACTTACATGTCTCTCTTGATTTATAGTAACTTCTTCAACCTTAGTTTTCACTAACAATTCCCAGGGGGAATCAACGACATCCAATGATTCTATACCGATTTTTGGAGACGGTAAAGTAAACTCTATTCCTGGAGGCGGGACTTTAAAAAGAACTTGAGCGTTTTCTTCCATCCTGGGCCACGGTTGGTATCTCATCTTCCACAAAACTTGAAATCTACGAAAAGAATAACAGTGGTGGTATAGATATAGGTTTATAATTGACATATTTTGCCTTTTTAATCCATTGTAAATTTTTTTAGATCATACAAGAGTCAGTAAGGATTACTAATTTTTGTTTTAATTTTCTTTTCTATTTTTATGCTTCAATTTGATTGATTTCTTTTTTATATGACTTACCGTAAGATAGCATTAATTCTTACAGCACAATCTGGATGAGACAGTCCATGCTGCATTATATCGGACACTGTTTGAGGAGATTTCACGGCACCTAGTATAAAAATTGAAGCAGCACATGCTGTCACTTCTTGATTGGGTTCCAGAAGTAGCTCCCAGGCGACGGGAATGATATCGACGAAGTTTTCTTCGGTCATAATAACCGCACCTTTAAGTAGAACTGCCAAAGGTGAGTGAAAAGCATCCTTTACCTATAATGAAGATACCAAATCAAATCAATATACGAAGTGAGGACTTGTGTATCCAGATGAATTTAAAATTTAAAGTAAGATTAGCAAAATGTGAAGTAAACCGGTTGGTATCTACGTTTTAAAAAAAAATCGATTTGCTAGAAAACTTACCTGAGTTTTAATGTATTTTAAAATCGGTGGAGGTTCTTCAGGTTTTTTATCAGAACTAGCTTTTGATTCGGCTCCAGTATCAGAGTCAGCGATGTCTCTAGATGAATCTTTAGAAAATATTTTACCCATTTGACTAGTATCTACGTTTTTGTCGATTCTAAAACAACAATTATTAATCTTTCAACCTTAATTAAATAACTCCTTATTACTTTTCCTTTTTTCCTACACTGTCTTTTCGCCTTATGGGAGACACCGTTGAACTTGTTTGATCAGACACTTTCCTGTTTTGCCCTTTCTCTTTTTTAGTTTTCTTCTTGCCACCAAAGTCCATGCAAAGTTTATCGTCTAAAATTCCAAATTCCTCACCATAAACCTTCCTGGAGGCTTTAATAAGTCTGCTGCAAGCTCTCATCACTCTTCTGTAGCAAAACGGGTGACAGAATTGTTGGTGGGGGCAATAGTAGTAGAAAGAGTTGGACACTTGGATCATAGTTTTAAGCCAAGGCATGTGCTTGGATGTGTCGTCAGTATCGTTGCTGTCACTCGGACTTTCAGGTGGCTGTTCGTCGCTCAGAACTCCCGGGGATTCTTCCCCGCTAACTTCACCTGGAGCTCCAGGTTCAGAAGTGTCGCTTCTATCTGATATAGAGCTTACTTTTCGTTTCGACTGGATGGAGTCGGTGCGTTTTACAGAGTCTGGAATTTTCCCTATAAAATACCAATCAAACTTATTATATTATAATAATTTCTACACTACTGCCTCAAAAATTAGTTTTTTACGAGCCTTTAAAACGATTATGTACATAAACTTTAAATATATTAACCATATATCACTTGATTATCTACATCTCTAGTGTTCTCTAAATCAATTAAATAAATTACCATAGGAAGCAAGTAAGAAATTTCCAAAGAAGAATCATTCAAGCAAAGTGAGTAGTGACTATTTTTAAAAAATCATCATCATCTAAAAACTAATTATACTAATATGAGTTTATTTACGCATAATATAGATCCAGTTATAGAAGTTATAGAGGTCAAGTACCTGTGACAGAGAATATCTAACAATCTTTACTTCTCAAAGGGACAACATCCAGATCCGATATAAACAAAGTTTGTATTCGAATATAAATAAAATGTGTAACATTAATATCTTCAAGTTGTGTTTAATAATCAACAGATTTAAGATAGCCCCAAAAAAGAACTTAACACATGTAACTTAGGTGAAATTAGAGGTCATTCAATTGTCTTTCTGAACTTTCCTTTACGGAAATAAATATATTAATGATTGGAATTTATCAAATTTTCATACTGTATAAAAATCTATGAACTATTAGATTATATATAGACGTTGTATACATATTAAACTATAGAATTTTAATTTGAACATTAGTATCATCATATTTTTCATACTTACATTCCACATCCATCCCTTCTTTAGTGCCCCTTCTCAATTTCAAACTTCTTCTTTTAAAAGAACCCCCAGTAGGTGCTGCGGTTCCTCGTCTTAGAATATATGATGGTCTGGCTTGTTGTTGCCGTTTTGCATCATCTCCTTGGAGTAGTTGCTAAAAGAATTTTCGCAATATTGTATCGCAATGCAATGTTTATGAGCTGTAAAATATTCATAAGGGACTTGATTGGAGGAGTAGAAAAAAAGTTCTGTAGTCTATTTTTGTTGTAAGACATGTAATACATTTATTAATGGAAAACCTGGATAATGATAGATTGTATGCAAAAATATTTTAAGAGCATAAAACAGTTTAAAATATATGACAATAAATATGAAATATGTTTGCTGAAACAATTAATGAAAATAAAATAAAAGTCAAATAGACCAACCAGAAAAAATTACACGAAAGCTGGAGAATTGAATGAATTATTTTATGAATGTGATCATAAAATAACGAAAAACAATTTACAAGATAATAAATAGAATACAAAATTGATATATTGTTGGTATGTCATGATAAAAAAGACACCGATCTTTTATTTGTAATCGTTTTTTTTTCTTTCTGTCTTCAATATTAAAATTTATAATCTAATGATTTATTTTTACCTGCATAGTAACTGTTGTTTGACTACTACCTTCAGACTCGTTGTCAGGCTCGTGTAAGACAAAACTTATCTTTCTTTCTCCAGTTTGACCTGCAAAGAAGATGTACAAGTAAGTTATTGCATTCTTGTATTTGTTATATTTACTCAATCATCATCTTGCAAATACTACAAGGTCTCACTATTAAATAACGAGACTGCTCGCGCAGAAGGAGTCCTAAAGGGGAGGAGTGAAAAGGAATTCAGCATTGGATAGCTGGAAGTGTCTATTCTTCCAGTACGAAAACACGTTTTTGTTGCTGAAGTAGTATTTTCTGTAGAGGTTAGAAAAGAACGTGTCTTTTCTTGTGCCGATAACAATGTGTGACGAAAAACATGAGCACGGATTAATGTGAAATTTCTCGTTAAATTAAAAAAAAACTCCCACTGAGTGCTATAATTTAGCAAACAATCTCATCCTACCTGAACAACATATAATATACATCGATAATTACAACTTGCCTGAATCTCTATCTCCAGCAATGGACTGCAAACTTTGAGCAGATGTCTGAGAGTGACCCATCGATGACAAAGCCATACTCCATCTTCTGTTAGCTTCCTTGCTGTACAATTTTTCCCAAGGCGCTGGTTTTCCTTTTTCCATGACTCTAGACGACTTCGGTAACGTTTGGTAGGTTTCTCGAAGAAATGCCGTAATTTCTTGCAGAAGAACGCATGCGATAAGACGTAAAGCCATGGGGCATGAAGATCCGTAGGAATTAATACTGGCTTCGTCCAGAAAATCTTCTTCTTCGTCTTGTATTAAAAGCTCCTTTTGTTTTTGCTCTTCAGCTACCATTGCACTCACTTGTGCGTCTAGAGCTTTGTCTTCGTTGATAAATTCTTCCAGTCTTTGGCCAATTACCTACACAATATTTAAAATTGCCTATATAATCCAGAAAAGATGAAAATTTTACAATTGCAGACTTTTAAAATTAAAAGATAAAAACTCCTACAAAGCTAAAAAGTTATAAAAAAAATTAAGAATCAAACCTAATACCTACGTTTAATACAATTTAAAATTTTAAGATATTTGAATGTGAGTAAGATTAATTAAAAGGTGAATTTCAGAAATCGACTACTACTACTACTTCTAATAGAGTTTATTCAAAAAATATAAGGCCTTAACTATATAAAAATTGTATTGAAAGGAACACTAAAATGTTTACGATGTTTATTTTTGACTGATTGGAGGTACATATTGTTATATCATTGTCTACAACTAGGACTTGCTTTTTATGAAGTTTACACAATAGAAGATACTGTAAAAAGCACGAATGTCATTTAAAGACTTTTAATGATAAAGATATCTACAAAAAATGCTTTACTTTATGGACAAGTTGCATAGTGGGTACGTACTTTTGTACCACATACCCCTAATTGCGATTCTGTGTTTTAGCGAAGTTTAGAATTTTCTCCTCACTGTCAAAATATCCCACAAACCATTTCTATCGATGGGGAGATGAGCTAAGAGAATTTAAACAGTTCTTGTCGTCGTCATCATCATCAATGGCGCTACAACTCTTCGTGAGTCTTTGCCGCGTTTACTATTGCCTTTCATGTTTTTCGGTCCTGTGCCAGTAATTCCCATTGTCGTACTCGCATCTTCTCTAGATTTTCTCTGACTGCATCTTTCCACCTTTTTCTAGGCCACCCTACAGACCTTCATCCATCTGGCCTTTCCCAGAACACATTGTTATTGTCAGTTCTTATCGTCAGGTAAGCTATTTTTCAAAATGTGATATCTCGATATTCTTCTTATAAATGACTGGTTCAGGAATTGTTTACACACCAATAAGTTTGTTGCCACAGTAACGATGGTAAAATTGAATATGTGGTCATCTGTCGCAACAGAATCTTATTGTAGATATTGAGAATCTGAAGCACTTTAGACACCCCAGTCAACGTATGCCCTTGACATTCGGTTATTCTAGGTTTTCCAAATTGTGCTGCTGTTGTTGCTCTAGTCTGGTATGTTCAAGGGTAACCTATCAATCCACAATTGTAACACTTTTGCCGTCCTTATGTTTTTGTTTCAAAGAATCAGCTATTTTCTGGAGATATTTCTCAAATTGGATGGCCAAACTAGATGTTACTTCTTCCTCTTCGCCAACAATTCATACTTGATGGACACATTCTTCGCGGCTTCATATTCCAAAGCTGCAACAATGGTGCTCTTTAATATTAAGTAGTGTTCTCTCTCTAGTTGTAATGTTTACTGAAGGTCTACGTGACACAGATTGTCAATAAAGCATTAAATGATGAATTGGTGCAGAAACTCTTTAGGGGCTTTGGGTTTAGCGCCTTGGATCCGCACATTCAGTTGACTCTGGTGTAGACTTGAGTCTGCAGCGGATTTGAATATTCTCCTCTATACTTGCCAGGAGACTATCTCGTCATCAAATGTAGTAGGCTTAATTATTTCGTTGACATAGGAACAAATCACTTCTGGTTAACCTTCGGGTCTCAGCTGCTTGGTCTTTTCAATTTCTACTCTACTTTACTCAACTCTGATGTCTCTATTTTTGATATAAGAATCACTAGCAATTCTCTGTCTTCCTTGCGACGTCTTTCTTGAGCTTTTTTTCTTCCTGACGTTTTTACCTTTGGCTTTCTTTTTTTCTGATGACGTTCCATTGCGATAATCATATCTTTAATTTTCTTCATCCTGGTCTTAATTCTTTATTTCACCATATAAATTCTCGGAAAGAACTTCCTTCACTTAATATTACTTTTGACACAAGCTGTTACGTCTTTCTATGAAATCAAAGATTAGGTGAAGCACAAAGTGATTCAAGAATAAACAACTTAATATTAAAAGAGTCGAACCTTTATGCTACAAAGCTAAAGCTTTATATTTTAGGAATATACTAGATAATATAAAATTAATTCATTTACGATTTCAGCTATACATAGCATAGATCATATAAACACACACTCGAAGAATACTGCATGCCATCTACAGACGAAGACCAAACTCTACAACAGATTTGATAATTCAAAAGTATTACTTAAAAAAAAATTGAAATTATCGTAATATTGTCACCGTTACCTCTGCCCATTGATAAAACATTTTTCCGGCTGCTCTTTGCATAATGTGTGATCTTCTGAGGCCGGTCGTGCTGTTTCCTCGGGCTGGTATCGGTCCGGAAGGTCTATAAACCGGCAGGTTGTACTTCATCCAAGAGGGCCACTGGTTTTTGTTGCAACAGTGGACGAAATATGCGCATTCCAGCAGCAGGGTTGCCCTTGCGATTACTGTTGCGTGGGGCTAAAAATTAAAACATAATTCACTACAACAAAATTGAATATCGGAAGATTGTAGTATACATATCGTTATTTTATTTAACTGCTTTTTAGGCGGTGGGAAAATAAATTCCCACCATAAAATATTCGTGTTATGGGAGATGAGAATATGAATTTCCAAACATTATCAGTGCTGCCATCTTACCAAATAGATACGTAGTTATAGATGTAATATGTACAGATGTTAATTAGCATTTAAGTGACAGTTGGGATTTTTCGTCAATTTGCTGTATGTTTTATGCAGTTTTGTTAGACTTAGATTAAGAATAAAGTAAGTAATAGGGTTTATTTTGTACATATTTTAAAATATCAAGGACATTTATCATAATTACTTGTTCATAAAACCAATAGTTATTTTAAACAGTTTTATAATGGGATATATTAGTGGGAAACATATATCCCACTTACCAAAATATTTTTGTTATTTTTAAACTAGAAATATATTTTTCACTGCAACTCTTTTTGCCATAAACTAATTACTAAATTTCTTACAGTTATGTAGAATTTATATAAAACTCAACAACGTACTCGACAATGAAATCATTTCCGATCAAGACTGTGATAATAAAGCCAAACAAAAAAAGGAATTTCTGGATTGCACTGTAAATTATAAAAATAATAAAAGATTTTGCGCAAGTAGTAGCGATATGGAAAATGAATCTATCTTGACTAATTTATCCCAGAAGATGTTGTTCAATCCCAGAAGAAGGCCAACAATACAGAACATAATATAGAGTCAGAAAAATGTTCCTCTAATGGAAAAACTATTTGATAGTAGTATCTTTGCTGCTTATTTGTGGAGATAGATCAGGAAAGAAACTAAAAAGACCTGTCATGTTCTATCAAATAAGCGAGTGGTTCCAGAATAAGTCAGACCAACTAATGTCTGTAATCTTATGCCGAATAAAGACAAAACCTATAAAAGATGTAGACTCTGTAGCACCAAAGCATCAGATAAAAGAACCAAATATGTGTATTCGCTATGCCAGGTACCTTTGTGCATTAATCATTATTTTAGGAGCTTTCGTGGAAAGTAAATTAATTCTTTGAATGTTTTTTTTTTCAATAAAATAACTACATAAAATTACTATGTTACGAGTTTTTAGATAAAAATATACTAAGATTTTGGGCTGTGGGAAAAATATTTCCCACCTATAAAATTTTTTAAAAAAGTGGATTCAAAGAAAAAGTTAAATGATCAGTTGGTAAAACATACTTTTAAATTAACTTTTGGACCAGAAAATGACATATTATAACCAGAAAAAGACCTATTTACCAATATATATAAAAATTTAATACCGTAAAATGTATCAAAAACCTAATTATAGTTAGATGGGCCAAGATCATGACTGTATGACGTAAAAGAGTATTTCGTGATTATTATTATTTTTTTTACAAATATTCTACTTACCAAATCTAAAACAGAAGCCAACAAGTGTGCATCGGGTACCGATCCCGGAGGGCACGTTTCTAACAGAAATGACAACCTACAAACACCCTGATAGACCGTACTCGTAGACACCAATTTCCTTTCCTTTAAGACTACAAATTCAGACTCTCTAGAATTTTCGCCGAATTCCATCGAGTTTTTTCTACTGTAATCTACAAAATAAATATTTTTTATGTTTGTAGATTTTTTAAAATTCGTTCGCCTACATCCTCCAGCAGACTCTTCTTGGCTTCCGTCTTTTTTCTTTCCTTTCTTCAGCACAAATTTGAATTTGTCTTCCATTCGTCGCTTGGCTTTTTGTATGCTCTGGCTTACATTGCTGCAATAAAGTTTTACTGAAATATATGCTAAGAGGATTAGTGGGAGATCGTACCTTCTTCCAGATTCTTTTGATTGGTAATATTTGGAAGATTGTCTGATAAAACTGGATGTATCGGTAAATGAGTCACCGTTGTCGACATTGTCCAGTTCGTCGATGGATGAAGTTTCACCTTTTTTGAACCAGTTCACTATAAAAAGAAAAAGGATTACACATGAAAAGTAAATTATTTGTGAAATGTATCCAACTATATCTAAATAGATGTATTTAGTCTATTTTAAATTAAAGGCTAATTAATATGTGAATTGCTAACTGCAGAAAGGCACCATGTCCAGTATGTTCTAATTTTGTCTATTTTATTAAAATTGAGGCGGTCGACGTGAGAAGGGCACATAGGCTTATGTGCCCTTTTTATAGAGAATGGCTATTTAGGTCTGCCATGTTTTCCCCTTTACAATGGTATAATTTTCATTTATTTATCTTTAAAAATAAGGTTGTTAGAACTGTTTGAATATTAGTGTGCAGGATGTTTTTTCAGATATGTAATTGTTTATAAACGATTTCTGCAGGTGTTTTGTATAGGAGGGCTATTTATCGCTTCTCATTTGTTTCGTTCCCTTGTCATGTGTCATATAATATTAATATATTATAGTGAGGTTAAAGTAGCGATGTTGCTATTCTGATAAGTTTTATTCTATTATATTATTACATTAAGTTTTATTCTGGTAAGAACTATGATACTTAATGAAGAATATAGTGATTAGGAAGATGTTCAAGAAGTTAATACTTCTGATGAAAAGAGGAAAAGGAAAGTAATCTATAAACAGAAAAATAAGAAACAAGAAACCAATAAATGAAGGCGTGTTCTAATAATACGTATCTGTGTCAGGAAAGAAGGTTTGTTCCAAGTCATTCAATTTAGTTACTGACTGCTGCCAGAACGATACGAGCCAGATTCCAAAAGATTGGCTTCGATCTACATTTATCGCCCTACCAAAAACACCACGTGCGAACTTCTGCAAGGACCACCGACTAATAAGCCTAATGAGTCACTTTTTAAAACTTTTCCTGAGAATACTTCACACTAGATTGTTTAAGAAATGTGAAGAGGTCAGTGGATGGAGTCAGTTTGGTTTCAAAAATGGACTTGGCACGACAGAAGCGATCTTTAGTATGTAAACATTGATACAGAATTGTTTAGATCAAAGAAAGGATGTTTTTATCTGTTTCATCGATTACGAGAAAGCATTCGATAATGTAAAACACGAATTGATGATAAAATACCTACAAGAGTTGGGATTGGATGCAAAGGATATAAGAATCATCGCCAATCTGTATTGGAATCAGACAGCAACAGTACGTCTTCAAAATTCCAACGAAACAGAAGATTTCTCCATTAAAAAAGGAGTAGGGCAAGGTTGTATACTGTCCCCAATGCTGTTCAATTTATACGTAGAAAAAGCCTTTGCAGAAGCAGCGGAAGACTCTAATAAGGGTATTAAAGTTAACGGCATTTATTAATAACATCAGGTATGCCGATGATACAGCCATAGTGGCAGATAACATCGAAGATCTTCAATTCCTTTTAAATGATCTAACTCTTGCAAGTGAAGCTCGGGGTTTGAAAATAAATATCAAGAAATTAATGATTATAAGTAGAAATGATTACCCCAACGCAAGGATATATGTCTCTGGAGAAGAAATCGAACAAGTCAGGCAATTCAAACACTTGTCAGGAAACACATGAGAATGAAATAAAGAGCAGGGTTGAACAAGCTAGAAATGCTTTTTTGAGGCTTCGTAAGTTTCTGACTGATCGTAAATTGGACTTTAACCTCCGATACAAGATGCTTAAGTGTTACGTGTGGCCTGTTCTCCTATATGGAATGGAAGCATGGACGTTAAAGGCCAGATCCATTAACAAACTTGAAGTGTTTGAAATGTGGTGCCTGCATCGAATGCTCAGAATATCATGGACGGACAGGGTCAGAAATGAGGAAGTACTCAGAAGAGCGGGCTTACAGGATAGGGAACTTTTTAATTATATAAAAAGTAAGAAGACTGCATACTTGGGGCACATTATACGAGGAGAACGATACACTTTTCAGCAACTGATACTCGAAGGGAAGATAGAGGGTAGGAGAGGTCTCGGACGTAAAAAAATGTCATGGCTGCGCAATATTCGACAATGGACAGAAATCCACAGCTATGAAATGCTTCGCAATGCTGCTAAAAACAGAATTATTTAATCCAGAATATTTAACATCTCACCTGACAAGACGATGTACGGAGGACGCCTACGCAGAAATGCACGGCACCTTAAGAAGAAGAAGCTGCCAGAACAAATGCCACGAAAATCTGCCTCTTGATTTTCAATTTGAGCTTTTTGATTTCTTTTACAACTGCCAGAACAAAAGTCTCCAAGATAGCTAGATGAACCTGGCTAAAGATCCCAAAAGTAAAAGGAAATCTCTTAACCCAAAAAAACCAAGAGATCACACCAGGGCCTATCATATATCTGTAAGAGGAAACACTGTTTTAGAGAAACAATTCTCTACTCTCTCCTCTTAAAATATTTAAATATTTTATAAGTATCTAGTAGTCTAAAATGCCCAATCACATAAACTTTAAATAAAAAATAAAACAATACCAGTAGTGTGTTTGAGTATACCAAGTTTTGTCTCTCCTGAAAAATTGGCAAAACTAGACTTAAGGCGTAAGATAATTTTTTAAAGATTTCTTACATATGAAAATATATTCACATACCGAGACCTCCAAGTTTAGATTTTTTGGCTTTGATAGACAATTGTGGTTCTAAAGCAATGCCCAATGCTCTTTCGCTTTGTCTTGGTGTTAATATATAATGCTTTTTTCTAATGTTTCCAATGGGACTTTGGCTCGTTTTTGGAAGTTCCTCTGCTTCGGTCTCAAGTAAACTCTGAAAATTACAAAAATTACAATAATATAAAACAGGGAATAAATTACTTCATTACTAAGGATAGGAATCTTGAAATATGCGTGTTATTTTATGTGTAAATACTTACTGGACAAGTTGACGATGTACTTCTTTTTTTGAATAACGATTTTCGTGTGCCTCTATCTTCGGTATACGACTGGGTGTCAGTTGGAACATCCTGTTGTTCTTCTATTTCAGAATGATGCATGTGTCTTAAAGAAAATAAAGTGTGTGAACAAAAAATTGGTTACATTCCTTGTTTGGAATTGGGTGCAAATCGGTACAGTCGTCTTGGTTCGTAACTAGCCTTTCAGTCGACTCAATTTAATTTTGTGTTTTAGTAGTCGCACACGGTCTACTAGGCCGGTCATAAAAATAGTCCTTTGGATCTGCATTTTGTTTATTTAAAATGTTTATTTACGTAGTACAAAAAATAGTCCACAATTTTTGTAATAGTTTAATTTATTCTCTTTTTTACTAAACAAATTAATGAATTTAAAATTAAAACATAACATATCAGTCTTAAAGAACTATCTTAAACAAAAATAAAACATAATTTCACTAAGACTTATCATAAGAAAATAGGAGATAGCAAAAAACATAACAAAATTAAGCGGCAATATTGTTACAAACATTGCAAATTAGATTTACATGTTCCAAACAAAGATACTTTTTATAAATTGAACAAAATTATTTTATTTTTTGATTTTTTCCACCAATTACCCCCAGAGTTCCTTGAACTGGCAAGAAATCTTCATCCAAGTGACAAATGTCCTTTAGACGAATCCTTATTGTCTTTGGTATACAGAAATTTTGGATTCGATTCTTCTGGTGGTTGTACATAAGGTAAAAATGCTAAATTTGTCAAAGCTTTTCCTCGGGTCTTTGTGGAATTTGGAGTGTTACAATTGTAAATAACAAACCAATTTATTGCTGTAACATTTTAAATGCTGTACATAAAACAAGACCATCTTCTACTACAACGTGCTATTATATCATATTGTGCGCATAACTTATATAAGTATGGTATCAACACCGTTTTTTGTGCTGTTATATGCTAACATGATTCCCGATTTTCCAGGTACAGGATCAACGTCCCCATGGTGCATAGTGGAATATAACAGAATGTTTTTGTTTTTTTTTTGTTTATATGACACTAGTGTTTTTCTTGAACCAAACCCAAATGTACTAGAACCAATAGGTGGTCCTTGATTGTTAGAGAAATATTCAGGAATTTATCTTCTATTTACTTTTATTGTTCCCAAGAGAGTTAAACCATTTTTCTTCACGCTTATACCAAGATCAACGCTGGTGTACTAATTGTCGGTGGTAACATTTCTCTTAGATCCATAAAGATGTTGACAGGCCCGTTCCGTCACTGCCTTGGTACCAGTGTCTAGATAGTATGAACCACCCACTTGGTTTTTGCCCACGTATACTTCCACGTTGCTGGTATAAAATAACTTCGCATCAGACAGATCAATTCGGATTCAAAAAAGGAAGAAACTGCGAACTCCAACTAGCAAGAATAATCAGCGATACGAAGATAAACTTCAACAGGAAACAAAAGACAGGACTAGCCATACTGGACATAGAAAAGGCGTACGATACGATTTGGAAAAAGGCACTAATCTTCAAGATGGACAAAGCTAGACTTCCGCATTACTTAATCAACATATGTGATAAGTATTTATCTAATAGAGCATTTCAAGTTTCAGCTGACCAAAAGATGTTAACATTTCAAGAAATTTAAGAAGGAATGCCGCAGGGCAGCATTTTATCTCCAATACTATACAATATTTCTGTTTCAGATCTTCCAACAGATCCAAGAACTTCAACAGCCCTATATGCAGATGATACAGCAGTGTATGCATCCGGAAAAGACGACAGACGAGTCATTAGAAACATGAAAAATCATTTAGGAAAAATCAGGGAGTTTACAGAAAAATGGAAAATCAAGATCAACACAGAGAAGACATTATTCATCATGTTCACCCAAGAGTATACACCGCCAGTGAACGAGATCACAGTAGGAGGAAACAGGATCCAAGCCACAGAATCAGTCAGGTACCTAGGAGTCCACCTCGACAGAAAACTTAATTTCCGGATGCATACAGAAAGAACTAAGGTAAAAGCCAACTTAGCTAAACAACTAACACTGCCTTATATTTTCAGGACCAGTCCTCTAACGAAGGCCAAGAAGATCCAGTTATACCAGGCCTACGTTAGATCGGTGATGTTGTATGCAGTCCCAGTTTGGAGTTCAATAGCAGAGAGCCACTGGAAGAAGTTAGAAGCTACAGAAACGGCATGCTACCGTATCATCGACGGAGCATCATGGGAAGACAGAACAACGAACGCAACCATCAGAGAAAGGCTCCAGTACACACCACTGAGGGAGGTGGTTGAGAACAGGACCAGATACTTCTTCCACCAGGCCACAAGAAGACTCCTTAAGACCAGGGACATCCTCGCGAAGAACAGGATCCAGAGGATGTGTAGATACCCCCACAGACTGATCCACCATCTGATCAGGGTCTAGCCGGATGGTTGCCGGAAAACAGCTATGCAGGGAAGTAGGTACGATGCCATAAAAAGTACCTACAGAAAAAGACGAGGAAACCACCTAGAGAAGTCCAGGATGCCGAGAGGGAGAAATTATTAGAAGCAGATGATGCAAGAGCGGGACATCAAGAAGAAAGAAGGCTAAAATGAATAAAATGAATTGTAAATATTATTAGGACATTATATGTTTTTTATTTTTATTTTTAATATATAGTGCAAATATTATTATACCTTATCTATTGGGTTTACTTGGTATGTACTGGCGGAACTAGCATCGTCTACTAAAAGTCTCCAACTTTTCTTCCACGGTTATTGCGTATAAGAGAAACATTTTTTCTGATTTTCGTTAAACTTGGTAATATAAAAAAATATATTTTATTTAATTATTAAATATTTTATTATTTTTTCTGCTTATATTTTAGTATTGGTCCCATCAACAATAATTTGCAACAGATCAGTATTAAATGAATTGTTCTAGATATCTAAAATATCGGTTTTTTGGGTGACATATTGTTTGGAACCTGGAAGCTGCAGAACAATATTTTTACTTCGACTCAATCCAATATGTTTTATTATCTTTGCCCAAAACATATGAACCGATCACAAAATCTGTCTCATCATCTAATTCCTCATCTTTCTGTTTCTTATCGCTTCCCTTCAAGTTTTCTTCTACATGATCTTCTTACGATTCCTCTCCATCATCATACTCATCATCCGTTGAAATTTCTTCAAAAAGTGCTATCAATCTTTGTTGCTCTTTTTCATAATCCATAATATCTGAACAAGCTTCGTCTACTAAATGCTAGAAATCTGTTATTTAAATAACATTCTAGCATACAACAGATGCTTTTTGATTTTATAGAGTAGATCAGTGTGCTAGAGCCTATCAAAAGCCTGATTTATATCCAGAAAAGTTGAACTGTATCGTCTATTTTCTACACTCTCTACATTCTTCACATCAGAAACCAAATTGGCAATCAGGTATGACATTTTTTTGGAAGGGTTGAAGTATTTTTAACAACCATTTCCCAAATATTTTGAAAGGAATTGGCAATTATACTGATTTTCGTAATCTTCCTGGTTAGCTTTTGTACGACGTTTAAAGTTTTGTAGCTTTTCCGTTAAAAGGTCGTAGCTAGGAGCTTTCAATACTCTGTGTGTAAATTTCTCTACTGTCAACTCCATTTGAATCGGCTCGTCTACTACCCTCCATGTATCTTGAGTTTCTGTAGAGCTTAATACAAAATTATGTAGTCGAAATACTTTTACTAAATGTTCCCCGAATGCTTAACCGATCATAAAGAAATAAATGAATGAATGAATGAATAAAAACCTGTTTCTTACCTGATTACTCGTGTTGTCTGCATGTTGACCTCTTTCTTGCTTGGTTTATCTGCTGAATCAATAAGAGCACTTAAAGCTACTCTTCTAAATATACTTCCATGTCCTTCTTTGACATATGTCATCAATTGTCTGATTTCACAGTATATCGTCTAAAAGAATTATAAGAAAATAATATACTGCTTTAGGAATTTTAGGCTTTAGGCTATTTTTTTTTAAGGAAATGCTTTAGGCTTTTAATATATTCCTTTCTAAAGGAATTAAAATCAATCATTTGTGGTATTTGGTATATTGAAAAAAAAAATATCTTACTAGACTCTCCGGCGTCTTGATTTCCTTGCTTGAATCGACGAACCGCGTCACCAGTGGCTTGAAGACGTGAGACATGATGGTACCTTCAATGCCTCTAATGCCACCGCCACCAAGGCCTGTGCCAAAGTTGGTACCATAACCACTTTGCGATACTGTGTCTTGTGACTTGCTAGAACCCCTCTTCTGGTCTATTGAAATTTGCAAATTTTCTCAAAAACCCTGACAGTTTCTTGTCTGAATGACATTCAGTTGCACATCTACATTTATCATGTAATTTACATTTCAATATTTATAATATCTAGTGATGGGATTTTACTTGATTTATCTCATTGATTTCTATTTATTGACAAAATTAAAAGGGTGAGGTGAGAATGGCTATCTAGCATTGTGAATCGTTCCAAAATAAAAAGAATGCTCATTAGGGGATTAAAGCTCATTAAGGGATCAACCACACTTTCAAAAGTGAAAGGAATGTGATGATGATAAAATAATATTAACTTATTTATACCTTGTTGATTAATCGCCAATAAATATGAATAAAATATTTTAGAAGTATGTATAGTTGACTCAACACTTACTATATAATATCCAATTACCATCATGCTTAATAGTTTAATTAATAAGATACAATCCATCACTCTTCTGGATAATAAACCCATTTTTTTGAACACTTGAAATTCATATAAAATTAAATTTTCTGATAATGCACTGTGCAAACTGTATTAGTCATTTCGAGTCAAGAATTCTCTAAGATTGTCTCTACGTTTTTTCTACTCTAAGATGATGAAAATCTCAGAAAGTGAGATAGCAGGAACTTAAGACCAGTTTTATTAGGGAGCACAGCATAGCAAAGTAAAGCACATAAGAAGCAGTCCATATTTAATTTTAAATGTAATCATAAATGTACATCGTGATTAATCAAACACCCTGTATACTATTTTAAATTTGAACTTTTCAAATATTTACCTACTATTTCTATAATGTAGAATTTTAGACAGGCCGGATTTGTAAACATCCACTACATTTGGATGTGAGAGGTGGCATTCTGATTTTTGCAGAAAAAGTTGTGTAATAACTTCATTAACAATAATTGGCTTATCCTTCGTCCTGTTTGTAACATACGCATAGAAAAGCGCAAAACAAGACTTCTTCTTCTTGTTCTAATGGCGCTACAACTCGTTGTGAGTCTTGATCTGCTTAACAATTCCGCCCTGTTGGACACTTTTCTTCGCCTCTTTCTGATGTTCATAGTTTTAAGATTCCTTTCTACGTCGTATATCTATCTTTCACGGGGCTTTCCTCTTGTTCTGTTTCTTTGGGGCTTTCATCTATGGACTACTTCTACAGCTCGATTATGTGGCATTCTTTCTAAGTGACCAAGACAGTTTAGTCTTTGTGGCTTTACAAATCTAACAATATCTGCGTGGTTCATTTTAATTCTCCACGAACCATCGTTGCATTGGGTTGGTCCAAATATATTCCTTAGTATTTTGCGCTTAAATATTCTAAGATCAGCTAAAAGTTGATTTTCATTAGTGGTTGAGAGGGTACACGTTTCACATTCATATGTGACCACTGTTTTGTAGATTCTAAGCTTAGACTCACGATTCAGTAACAAGACTGGTTAATGTTTTTCAGCAACTTAGATTGCACTTAGGATCTTCGTAATTCACCTACAAAATCTGTCTTCTTCTTCTGATAGTGCCGTCTCCACTAATGAAGGTTACACACAAATTTCCTCATCCTCAAAAAGGCTGCTCTGGATTGCTCTATTCTATCTTCTAATATTTGAAATAATCAAAAACGATGCAAATATAGCTAATATAATATACAAATGTACAACAACTATTGTTTTATCGCCAATAGCTGTTGTGAGAATATTTAGAGTCAGAAGCTGAAGACTGAAAATTACTTTTTTTAGACGAATTTTAAGAAACCAATAAGATAAAACAATTTTTTTTAATTGAATTATTTATTCTGTTAAATATGAACTGCTAATGAAAATAAGATACGAAAAAGTTAGTATAAAGAAGCGATTTTTATGTTAGTTTGAGTATGTCGAATGTAACTGATTCAATAAAGTATATTTAATTATAACAAAAAATGTATTCATTAAAACCTTTTGAACTATCAATTACAGAAAAAAATCAGATGTCATCTCTGCTTGGCGGTAAAGTACGCGCTGTCCTGTGGTCTGTGAACTGTGTTTGTCATTTGTCATCTTAGTTTTAGTTAATGTCATATGTAATTGTCATGTTATTCATTCAAACAAAACAATGCTAATTTCTTGTATATTAAAACCTAGTTTATAAAGGTTTTGCATTTCATTACAATTTAATATACAAGAAATTAGCATTGTTTTGTTTGAATGAATAACATGACAATTACATATGACATTAACTAAAACTAAGATGACAAATGACAAACACAGTTCACAGACCACAGGACATTCACCCCAACTTTATTTTTGAACAAAGTCTTTAAGGTAAGCAGGAGTGTTTCTTTCCCTGGTTTCAGAAGAAATTGCATTAATAATTTGTACAGGAGTTGTATAAGCCTCAGAGTGTTTTGAAGCTGACTCCAGAGACTGGGCTTTTACTATGGCATCTTGCAGAGTAATAGTGTTGTTTTCTAGTAAACGTTGTCTTATGTCATTAGAAAGAATGCCATTAATAAAAGAGTCTCTTATATAATCTTCTCTATTTTGGTCTGCAGAAACGGCTAGAAAATTACAGTCTTTGGAAAGCACTTTAAGATGTTGAACGTATTGACCTATATTTTCACCAGTTTGTTGTTTTTTTGTCATTAGGATATGTCTGGCAAAAATTTCATTTTTGGGTTTAACAAAAGCTGCTTCAAGAATACTTTTGGCTTCAGAATACTTTCTACAATCAGAGATGAGTTCATAGATATTGTTGCTCACGTAATTTACCAGTAGTTTGAATTTCTCCTCCTCTGAAACATCAATCACAGAGGAAATAAAGTTTTCAAAGGTAGCTTTCCAATGCATCCATTCTTGAGACGATCTAGGAGAGTTAGGATCAGCATCGAATCTGTCTGGTCGTAGTAGCTTATCCATATTTGATATTTCTTGTATATTAAATTGAAATCTTGCTGCTGCCCCTCAATGCTTATCTAAAAGTGTTACTGAGATAAAGGTGAATGGAAATACAGCTGAAAGTTTAATAGACACAGGTAGTTCTGAGTCATATATCAGTAAGAATTATGCATTGTCTATAAACGTGAAAACATTTAGAAGCCATGCAAGCATAATAATGGCTTCAACAGCACTCAGAACGACTATCTCAGGACACTGCTTTGTTAATTTAGAAATAAACGAACATTCATATAAAAATGTCAAATTATCAATAATTCAAGATTTATGTGCTGATGTAGTTATAGGTCATGACTTGCTTAAACAACATTCTTCTCTAGAAATCACTTTTGCTGGCTCAAAAATGCCTTTAGTTATTGATCATATAGATAACATTTGTAGTTTGGCATACTTAAATATAGAGCCACCCAAATTATTCTCCAATCTATCAAATGATTGCAAACCGAGGGCAACTAAATCAAGAAAATTTTCAACTGAAGATAGAAAATTCATATCTGACGAGATACAGTATCTGCTATCGAATGGAATCATAGAAGAAAGCAACTCTCCTTGGCGTGCACAAGTACTTATTACAAAAAGTGAAACACACAAAAAGCGAATGGTGGTAGATTATTCACAAACAATTAATAAATTTACTTACTTAGATGCCTATCCTCTCCCAGATGTTGAAGATATTGTTAGAAAAGTAGCAAGATATTCTGTCTTCAGTACTATTGATCTTAAAAATGCATACCATCAAATTCCAATTAAAAATGAAGAGAAAATATACACTGCTTTTGAAGCCAACGGCCAACTATACCAATTTTGCCGGATTCCTTTTGGGGTAACCAACGGAGTGGCTTGTTTTCAAAGGGTTATCGATGGTATTATTAAATCCGAACATTTAAAAGGTGTGTATGCATATCTTGATGACATTACGGTTTGTGGATTAAATCAACAACAACATAATGAAAATCTTAATAAATTTATGGAAGTAGCGAAGAAATACAATCTAACAATAAATCAAAATAAAAGTTCTTATACACTAAATTCAATCAAACTTTTGGGTTATCAAATAGAAAATCAGACCTTAAAACCTGATCCTGAAAGACTTGAACCATTAAAGAAGTTACCCTTACCAAACGATTCACAATCACTAAAGAGAGCTGTCGGAATGTTTGCACATTATTCCAAATTCACCCCAACTTTAGGTTTACTGTGTCCTGTGGTCTGTGAACTGTGTTTGTCATTTGTCATCTTAGTTTTAGTTAATGTCATATGTAATTGTCATGTTATTCATTCAAACAAAACAATGCTAATTTCTTGTATATTAAAACCTAGTTTATAAAGGTTTTGCATTTCATTACACGCGCATATTATTTACGCAAACCCCGATGGAATTTTATGTGATAAGCGTTGGAAAGTTCAGTGGTAGCGTATGTTCACTGTATATCAGTTATGTTGTTCTGTACCTTGGTGGTATTGTTGACATTAAAATACTTTGTCATATTTTAAAAATTGGTATGTCCATTTCTTCGATTTAGAACGTAGTATATAGATTCAATAAATATGTCAATATTACATTAAAATTAAGTGTAATATTTATAACAAATTATATAAAAAAATTGAAATTATAATTAAATATACTTTGCATCTGATATTTTCATTAACTATGATAACGTGTCTTACTCAATGGTGACAACAACGAACTGGGATCAATGCAAAAACCAACATAAGAATGAAAGAAATCCATCACATCTGTCAAAGGCTCGTATTTGACGTAATCCTTCAAAAATGACTTAAACTGCTTAGGACTGGCTCTGTTGAGCTTGACAAGAATATTTTGGGATTGGGTTCTCAAAAATTCAGCTGCTGGTCCTCTTTGGCCATCCGCACAGCCTTGCGGACAACCCAAATGCTTCAAAACTCTAAAAATCGGATCAATATTTGAGCAAAATTAACTGTAAATTCATAAGAATTTCAAGCGTTTTTATTTTGTTTCTACTTACCTTATAATGCTATTCATAACAAGTCTATGGGAAGATATTGGCTTATTCTTATCTGGATCGGTAATACCAAGTGAACCATGAGTACTACTTTGTTGGATTTTGCTGGTTTTTTTGTCAGGTGTAGAAGCATCTTGTTGATTAGTAGTTGAGCCCATTGCTTCTTCTTTGAGGCATTGTTTTAGAACACCCATGTCCATTATTAGTTCTATTATATTTAGTATAACTTCCAACACCCTTAACGTGCAAGAAGAGCTCTCTCTCACTGAGGTTCTATGAACGGCCTAAAAAAATATCATTAAATCATGTTAAACTTAAATACAATGTTTACCTGTAAAACAACTTGAAGATCAATATCACCATCTTTAGTTATATAGCAGGTGGCGCCTGGTGCCTCAGGTACATCTTCTCCAGCATACGTAATATTAGAATCTGTTTGTGATCGAGTTAAACTAGACTTTCTTTCTTGCCAGTTACCTAGTTTACTGCCTGATAGACTCGCAGCATCAAGTTGGCTATCCATGGAGCCCTAAAATATAATTACAGAGTGTCAAATAAACTTTCATATATCCTATCTTCCTTTTGTTCCTTCTTGTGCAGTTATTTCTTGCCATTTTCAAGATTACTACACCGATATTTATTTAATTTAATTTAAATATTTTAATTGTTATGCAAAAACGGTTCATTTTAGTTTATTTCTACAATCTTAGATTTTAAAAACGGGTACAACTATAGAATATTTATATTCTTTTTTAGATTTCATCTGAAAAAAATTTTAGATAGATCAGCATGTCAGAACCGCGCAACATTTTGCTAAAAAAGTAAAAACCACATCCGGTGAAAAATATCAACCTTCAGTGTCCAAGTACTTTCAGTCAAGTTTCAAAAAACAAACCGATCAAGAAACTGAAGACTTGTGTCGTGCATTAGTATCTTGTAATATACCGCTTTTAAAATTATCTAATAAAAATTTTAGTTCTTTTGCAAATATTGCAAACAAAACAGTCCCAGTGAACGAACTCTAAAGAGAAATAATGTCAATTTGTTATACTCCTCAGTTATCCACAACATAAAAAGCCGAAATAGGACATTATGCACTTATTGATTGATGTACTTAGCGATGAAACATTTCCAAAATCATATTTAATTTTCTGTAAGCAAATGGAAAAAACCAATGCTCTAACAATATCACGGATTCTACAAGAAGCATTAGCAAACTTTTTTTCTTCCTGCTGCTGTGCCTAATGATAAATTATTGCTTATTTTATCTGATATAGCCGCACCATATATGGTGAAAGCAGGACAAAATTTAAAAATCTTTTATCCAAACTTGATATATTTATGTCACTTGTTTAGCGCATAGAATAAACAGAGTTGCGGAGGAAGTAAGGAAAAATTTCCACTAGTTAACAGTTTATTAGCGAAAGTCATAAAGGTATTCCTGAAATCACCTGTAAGAATGCAATGCTACAGAGATATGCTGTTCCACTGCCACCTCGACCCATTTTAACACGTTGGAGAACATAATTGGAAGCAGCTAATTTCTATGCTGATTATTTTGTTGATTTAAAAAAATAATTAACCTTTTAACGGATGATAGTTGCCAATCTTTATTGGAAGCTCAGCAAGCCTTCCAAAATAACATCCAAAACATAGTTTTGTCCAGAAAACTATAACTCAATTAGAATCCTCCAAATTATCATTGTTAGGGAATACAGTTTTAATAAAAGAATTTGAATCATTGGGTCAAAACATGAAAGGTACTATTGGAAAGTAAATTTTTCAAAAATTTAAAGTAACCATGGAAAAAAATAGTGGTTACCAGGTTTTTTCTGAAGTAGTTCTAGTACTAGCTAGGACATTTTCCGAACCACTAAATTTACATCAGTTACAACGGTTACATCAGTTGATGTCGATAGAAGTTTTTCTATTTACAAATATATGTATTCAGATAGAAGCCATAAGTTTTTATTACAAAATTTTGAACATTATTTGATACCATATCATTTGTTACGTCAATTCAAAATAATATTTATATGTTAAAATAATTGTATCAGGTACACCGGGGTAAGAGGAACCTAAAAAATCATTAATTTCTGTTTAAGGCCTTCTAAAAAATTTAGTTATATATGCACTCTATTAGGTTACCGACAGGTAAGAGTTACACCATTTTCTACTACGAATCCGGTGTTAAAACATAAAAAAAAACTTTAAAAATCTTTTTTCTAACAAAAACTTTCAATCATGTGACATGGTTTCCACTTGCCCCACATTTTCTACATGGCAAGGGGCAAGTGGAAACCTATCCGAATTTATATATTGAATTCATTGCAAATCATTCTGGGGCAAGTAGAAATAATAAAAAAACCATTTCTGAATACATTTGTAATAAAAGTTTAAAAAATATGGTTATTAGCGAACATTATAGTTGTTTAGAGAAATAGGAAACGAAATTAAAGCTTGTTGCCTTTTTGTAAGCTGGGAAAAACTTAATGGTTTTGGCAATACTAATTCAATTTGGAACTTAAATGCGACTGATATGTCTGGTAGGTTGGAAAAATAATATTTTCCGTCATTTTTTATGCATTTTCGAAGGCAACTAACTTTAACTTCAGTATCAAAACACTGCAAAATTTTAGCGACATAATAAATATAATTTGAGCCTCCTTTAACTGGAAATTTCATTAATACGAAATCATCGGGCATAGCCGCACGATGTAACTCTTCTTCGATGGGAGGGGTTGGAACCCTTAATACATCAATATCGTCGTCGGAATCTGATCTCATCTCAATGAAAGCTTGGTCATCATCACTGCTGTCAGATCGTGTTTCCTTCTTCTTTATCCTTTTCCTTTCCGTTTTATTGGATTTTACGGTCTTTTTGTCTTGTTGTATCTTCATTTTTGCTAAATAGTCAGTGTGTGTTATGATCTCAGCGCCAGAACAGATTCTTACGCTTTTGCTGGTTTGATGGGGATTGTTTGACATGTTCGAGTAAAATAGATTCGAAGGAATTTCTTTCAGGAAGCCTTTTTAATGCATGATTCTGATTATCATTTTGAAGATACTGTTTGTATTGTAACACAGTACTTCTGACTAAGTGTGTTGCTTGGCTGCCACTGGTATTTTCCGACATTTCTTCTTGTTGAGGGGTATCACCAGGGTCATTCCTATTTCTCACTAATGATGCCTTCTTAGAGTTATGATATTGAAATCTTTTGAAAGCCTCAGGTTCAAATTTTTCAACAGGAATCACTGCATTACAGAATGGGTAAATACCGGCCTTACTAAAACCACTTTTAATATGGTTTGAACTCAGCTCCTTCCATACTTGTGAAATTATAGATGAAAATATGGATTTCGGTAACTTTGTACCGTAATTTCTTCTTTGCCATTTTATAAGAGCTTCATCGTACATTTGTTTTAAAGGCTTGAACACAGCCAAATCCATTGGCTGTAGGAGATGGCTAGTATGTGGCGGTAGTTTTAAAATAATTATGTCTTTCCTTAAAGCAGTTTCTATAAGGGCAATTGATGTGTGTGAAGAGTGACTGTCATAGATCAGAACAACGGGTCTCTCTTTAGGAATATTCGGAAGGAACGTATGTTCAATATAATTAGAAAATGTTTCCGTTTCCATCCATCCGTTAATTGTTGCTCCGTATGTAATTCCTGGATGCTCCGTATGTAATTCGATGGTTAAATCGATACCGGCTTGGTAGATAAACACTTGAATAGTTTTGCTTAACGACAGAATTATGACTGACTCTGAGCGTCAGTGGTAATATTAACCTAGTGTAGATCGTTTTTAGGGAGATGGCAGTGACAGGACTGGATTATGATTTTTTTAATCACATGGTTTCCACTTCCCCCATATTTCCACTTGCCCCGGGGTACCTTATGTTATGTATTTATAATATTGTAAGTATTTTTATAAATAAAAAAATATTGTAAATATTTTTTATGGCATGCATATTTTCTAGATAAATATGCATATTTTGCATAAAATACTGCATATTTATACTTTTTTATTTGCACATTTGCCCTCATCTTTAAAGGTTGGTAACCATGTATACCCTTTCATGAATAAAGACAGTCTGTGTTGAGAACGCGAAACGTGTTTAAGCTTATTTATTGAAGAGTTTTTATATAAAATAACGAACCTGTCTTCTTAAATAATCAGGAGAAGGCGTTGGAGTATGTTCAGTCACAGTAATGATGGGATTCGCCATAGGTTGGCTCGGTGCAAACTTCCCTACTCTTTTCACTTCCCATGTCATTTCGTCAGCGTATCTAGTCCAAGAAAAATTGCAATTAAGAATAATATTTACATATTTGTGTTAAGCGCCAAAAAGAAGTACAATAACAAGCATCTGAACACATATTTTGCCATAAAGGAGGAAATATAAAGCTTTTAGAAAACAATAAGATATTATATTAGCCAATTTTTGAAAATAAAATATAAATCTAGAAGCTGTTAAAATACACACATGAAAAATTATTAAGTATTTTTAAAATATTTTAAATATAACAGCTTAAATTGGTTTTAAAAAGTTGAAATGCTACATTTAATTACAGCCACATTCAGAGAAATGTAAGGAAAATGTAGGTATGTATGCGGAAATACGAAAAACTTGCAAGTCTTTGTAATAATTATTATTTTTAGTCTCTGGACAAACCAACAGATTTATAACAACTGAAAAACGTTTCTACATAAATTTATTATTTACCCGCCTATGGTTTGCCCAATTATTTAAAGTACAAGTGCCTAACTTCAGACAAGTTGGCTAAAAATCGATATCGTCAAAATTTAAGGAATTGTGAGGTTATGGTACTGTCAATTTCAATTTATTTTATTTACAGTTTTTAGTTTTTCTATATTTAAATTGAAGAAAACTGAAACAGATATTTTTTAACTTAAAGTCTACAATGAATTTAGATTCCATACCAAGAGACCTGAGAGGTCTGCGGGCTTGTTTAGTATGCTCTCTTATAAAAGTAAGCTTTGGATCCTCAGTTGTTTATTTTTGTTATTAAACATTTTTGTTTGTAGAATTTTGACCAATTCGAGAAGGAAGGATGCGAAAATTGTGAAGAATTCTTGAGAATGAAAAACAGCCACGATAATGTTTATGATTGTACTAGCAGTAATTTTGATGGGTAAGTTGATCGAATTTTTTAAGAAGATAATTGGCAATTAAACAAAAAGTGCTCTACTTCTGAAAAGTATGATAAAAGTGTTGTACTTAATATCATTGCTGTTATGAGTTAAAGTAGATAACATATAACATGGTTAACAAACTTGGTGTGTAGTCAAGTTAATTGATTATCGTTTGGTTTTAGAATGATCTCTGTGATGTGTCCGGATGACAGCTGGGTGGCTAAATGGCAAAGAATTAGTGAGTATTTAAACACTGTACAATTTTTAATTTGCACTAATCTTTTTAATTAATTATAAATGGTTCGTAGGTCGCTTAAGCAGAGGTGTCTATGCTATTTCTGTATCTGGTACCTTACCGAAGAGTATAATAAAGGATTTGAAAAGCAGAGGCATTACTTATAAGAGTAGAGATACAAGTCAAAGATAAGGGACAAAATTACTTTAGAATTACTTCTATTTACAAGTGATTTAGTTTTATTTTTAAAAACTTGTGAGAATTTTCACATTATATTAGTTTCATTTTATAAAAATGGTGTTATTGTTTTTAATATATCGAGTACTTGAATTATATTGTATTTTGAATTAACAATTTGAAAGCAGATAAAATAAATCAGGTTTTTTAGATGATATTTCTAAATGAAACACACAATCAAACTGTGATTATCTGTTCTTTTTCAAAGGAAGAGTCGTTGATTATCAAAAAAACGTGAATTATAAATATATCCCGTAAAAGTAATATGAGAATAAAAAAAGATAAAGAGATTTCAAATACTGAAATGGACAGAAAATTCTTGACGAAGCTAATACTATGGCTAATAAATTAATAACAACTAGGAAAATAGGTAGAACCAACAAAATTAATAAAACTAGATCTAAAAATAATACAGAATAGAAGATTACTTCAAAAAAATTCATTCGATAATGAATTCTACCAGCAAAATATGAAGCATACAGAAAAATTCTTACCCACCAAACTAGAACCACAGTGAATATTTACCAAACAAAAGAGAGAATCACTTAAATATGAAACTAAAATATATAGAGAGAAAAAATCAGAAGATTCTATATTAGCAATGTATGAAGAACAATTAACAGAAAATAAGGATGTATTTGAGCAATGGCTAGAGCCCACAACAAGATACTTTGATAACATCAATAAAGACATGAGCTTTGTGGAGAAATGTGCTAAAGCAAGAAAAGTGATGAAACAAAAACCCAAGCATGTTTCTTGACAGAAAAACTCATAGATAGAAGAGATATGGGTAATAATTCTTCACTGAGTTTTAAATGTAGGTAAAATTCTCTAATATTTAGATATTAAATCTAAAGTATTTCAAAGTCACCAAAATATTTAAATTTCTTTTTATGTGTGTATTTTTATCAATTGTCTAATATAATGTCCACAGAAAGTCCATCATACTTACCCTCCCGGTTGATTAAGTTCATCTAAAATACAGCTAAGAAAGACAGAATGATAAGAACATTCAGAGAGACGAAAAGGCACATATAAAGGATTGTCGTAGTAAGGGAAGACTGCATTTTTGTTAGGCAATAGTAACAGAATATGTTGGCGAAAACAACATTATCTCTCAACAACGCTCAGTTGAGTGGAAATAAAATAACCATACTTGTTTCTTAGTGACCCAATGTTGCTGTTTAACTTGATTTTGTTGTACTTATAGGCAAACGTTAACATTTATAGTTAGGGACAAAACCAAAAGTTTTTCAAATCTGGTTATCTTGTGTGATTTTTTGGATAACCAGATCTATCCAAGAGGATTTCATTCATTGAATAATATTTATAAGCTAATATTTTAAACTGGCTGAGAGACAAGAATTTTTTGATAACTAGGGGAAGAGTGTGCAAGATGGAATACTTAGTTTATTTTCCATGAATCTGAGACATAAATAGAGATCAATAATCCCTTTCCTCACATATACATGAGTGTTAAATACAAAAATAATTATAAACTATTATTTTTTAAGAAGAAAACCATCTTAATTCATACAAAGTTTGCACCTATTAAACAAATCATTGCAGTAAATGTAGGCGCAGTCCTCTTGTTCAGCATCGTCAATACTGAAATAATCTTCTTCGTCACGTAATAGATTTTTCAGTTTGGTCACAATATTTCTTTTGCTTTTTCTTGCTGACGGCTGTCTATTATTGTTCACAGTGCTTCCTCCATTGTTTAAATCATTCACTATTTTGCTTTTCACGACATCCCTTTTCCTGCTTTTTATTTCTCGTGCTTAGGAAGGGCTTAAGATATTTCGGGAAGGGACTGTCGGTTAATACATCTTGGTATTGACCAGCTTAACGTTTGGTAGATTTTCTCATATTACAGAGACTTATAAAAGCCCGACTTATGTCCTTTCTCGTTGAAAACAACATTTTATCACAAAGTCAGTTCTGCTTTTTGTCTAATAAATGTACTAGCGATGTTATGTTTTCTGTACTACATGAGGCCTAGCAAGCAGTAAGTACAGGTTCAGGAGAAGACTTTTTTATTGGACGAGGTATTTGAAATTAGCATAGAAAATATATAATATATCAGTCACACCAAAAAAGTTTGCATTGTCTTTTAAATCTTTAAATGTATTCATTTTTTTCGAAATCTGGGGAAAGTAATAAGTATTTATATTTTAAAAATTTAAACGCAGAATGAAAGATTGTAACAAATCTAAGTGTATGCAACCTGTGTTATGTATATTGCCTACAGTATATGCAACCTGTGTTGTGTATGTTGCCTACCCTATAGGTCGCTCCCATCCGTCCTACTAGAAAAACGGCCAATACTGATTATGATTATTATTATTAGTTTTTGTTTTGACTTAAGAGGCTATAACGTTTTATGTTCTTTTTGTTTTTATCTAAGTCTTGTTAATCTTCAGTTTGTTCATGTAAGAACAGTGCTAAATAAATACCTGTTAACATTGAAAATCCATTCTTAGTAAAAAATAATTGAACGAACTCAACGATTATTAAAGGGAAAAATAACAACATACCCACCTTACAAGTTAACGTTATTACTGAGTATGTAAAGCCCCTAAAAACTTCTATACTGTTTATTTTAATAAGTTACAGGGGTGAAAAGAAAAGAGAAAGTTTAGTGTGACTTTTAATTTCAAATATCTGATTCAAAAGAAACTTTTTGATTATTCCCAGGCACTTTCGACCCTCGGTAATAGTACAATCTTTTATTCTGCATTTAAATTTTTCAAAAATACTTATTGGTTTTTTCAGGATTCGAAAAAAATATATACATTTAAAACGCCTTGAACATTTTGACAGGCGACATTTTGCGCCTATGCCCTTAACGAACAACTCTGTATTACTTACAACCAAAAATAAATTTAGTCTATTTTAAGTTTCCTACTAATAATCTACTACAAAACTATTATCAAAATATACATTTATAACAGTTTGTTTTAATGAATACTTTATTGAATCGTATGCTTGTCTTCCCTCTCACGGCCTTGTGCAGGTAAATATTTAACAACACAATTGTAGAGCAAGTGTAGATTTTCCTGCAGTACTAATAATGTTGTTAATTTAAGAATCATAGTGTGATCCACAGAATTTTTTTCGATCTCATAGAATATATGAAATTCTATACTTGCTGTAGATACAACAAACAAATAAGTGGATACATTTATTTGTCCAGGGTAAAAAAGATGCTACATGAAGACACAAAAGCAACATTAAAAACAACAAAAATAAAAATTTTAAAATACAGATATATCCATTGAGATATTTTAAAAATATTTTTTAAGGCTTTGACCATTAGTCATTCAGCCAGGCAGTTATCTTCATCTACAAGTGTCATCATCATACCTACTCTAATTTTTGAATGTTTTTTCAAAAAGTGGTTTTTAAAGAGTGGTTCATCTAGCAGTAAGATAGCTGGTCTAAGGTAAACTTGTATACTAAATCGGCATGGCTCATAGCTCTTGTTAAAATCCATTACCTCCACACGGAGCAGGTATTGTTACATTTAGTTTTAATCAACTTAACGAGATGGCAGCACCTTTTACTTGACATAGTCACTACACAGTTTAACCACAAATTTCTTTTTTATACTATGGTCACTACATCTTAAAACTTTGGTTAGTGTGGCTTAAGCCATGATACTATGAATAACAAGATAGAATCTTCCCGTAGCTAAAAATCGGTCGGGTTCGCGCATGCCGTCATTGGAGAGTAGAATTTGAATTCTTGTTAAAGTTAAATGAGATTTGTATGCATTCTGTGAGGAAATTACTAGACGAGAATAAGTTAAGAGGTTTAATAATTACAATAATCGTACACATAAGGATATCTCCAAACTATTTATTAAAGATTATTTATTGATATATACAAAAACTGACATTTCGAACGTGCAAGTCTCCAATGACGTCACAAAAACATGCGCAATATCTTATCTTATAGTCATAGTATCATGGCTTAAGCCTCTGGCGTAGACCGAGCATTTTTGTATTATTAATAGCACTCAGTAATTTTTTTCAACATTGTTTAAATTTTTGCTGATTTTATTTTTACAAGGTAAGTACCTAATCATCGTTTTCTGTCTCCTATCTTAAATATAGATGTCATATATGCCTCCATCAATTCCTTTGGGAGTTGTTCTCTATTTGTGGCTTTCTGAAATATCCATTGTATCATCCGGTGTATTTTTTTAGAGCCGTATTTTATAAGCTCAGGTGAGATGCCTTCAGGTCCCGGTGCTTTTTTATTTCTTATTATTATTTTTTACTGTATTTTTTCCTACTTTCCTAAGAGGTATTTCTTTCATTATTTCAAAAGCCTGCAACTGATGGCTTCTCCAACTCGGGCCATGGAAAACCTATATAGTTAAAACTATACTTCGAACAGTACTAGTGAGTTACCACTGGAAGGAAGAAAAAGTATGGGATGCTCCATGAAATGATGGAGCCAAATTCGATATTGACACTTGCAAAAATGACTAATAACTAAATTAGAGAAGAAGAACTTCATTGAATTGCTCGTTCTGAACTGCGTTGATAACAATAAAACTAACATTTTTTTATCATATATGTTCGAATAAATGGAACCAGAGTGTTTGTTTCTTTCAAAAAATAAGTAAAGAAAAAATATTCTATATATTACCTAATTATATTAAAATTTAAAATAGTAAATAAATCCAATAATTAAAACTTTGGTAAATAATTATTTATTACCTCACAAAACAAGTATCTTACACACAAAACAATATATAATTACAAAGAATCTTACTCACCTAAGACTTGGCATACTTTTTCCTTTGACCAAGTTGCTGGGAGGTTCAAACATTCTTGACATGGACGTCTGAGTACGTGACAGGTGTTCATCACCCGTGTCCAAGCTTCTATGATATTCTTGCTGTAATAAGAAATATGTAGATACTGTTTTTGGTAACCATACATCTATTACACCGAGGAGAAACATTTTTGATAAGCTCAATCAGAATTATAAGAATATAAACTGCTTAATATATCAAAAACCATTGATCTAAGGTTGAACTAAAAAAACTGGCGAATCAATGAGTATTTAATGTGATATTTTGTCATCCAAAAGTCAAAAAACTACTGGTATTACGAAATTATAAAAAATATTTGTCATTATATAAGGCTCTAATATAAAGGTTTCATATTAACCTTCTTAAGTCTGTCCATGTCTCTTCTCCCCAATATCTTCCCGATTACTTCCTCCCATATCTGTCTTGGTCTGCCCTTTTTTGTTTTTTAATATTTTTGCTTTCCACACTTGTCTCACTGGTACGGTATCTTTTATCCGGTGTAAATGATCACACCAGCTCAGCTATCTCTGTTCTATAAACTCCAATGTGGTTAATATTTTCAGTTCATTTCTTATATTTGTGGTCCTGATTCTATCCATTTTAGCAACGCCTTTAACTCTTTTTAAAAATTCCAATTAGCCTGTATTTTGCCCTTGCCGTTCAGTTAGGACCCATGATTAACTGCCAAAAGTCAGAACAGATCCATAAACAGCTTTGAAAACTTTCATTTTTGTATTCTATACCTTTTTCTGCATATAAATTTTTTGTTCATTTTATGAAACAGTTGTAGCATCTTCTCTACTTCGCTATTGATTTCTGCTTCAAGAGATCCTGTTTCCTTTATTACTACTCCTAAGTATCTAACAGTTTTAACTTGTTCTATTTTTGTTCTTTCAATTTCTGTTGATTTGATAATATTAATCTTCATTTCATTTACAGTAAGTACCTACTTCTTTTCATATTTAGAAATTATTCTGAAGATCCTTTTTCAGTTTTTCCAATTAGCACTAAATCGTCAACAAATACTCCTTCAATATTTTCTTCACTCTTTGCAGGCTTCCAAACATTTTTAAGAAAAAGAATTTTAGACAAGAAAAAAGTATTATGTTATCAAAACTGACCACCTAGAAAATACTTTTCAACCAATTGAAGAACAAGAAATAATTAACTGGGAGCTCTCTGATCAAGATGAAATGGATATTAGTCATGTAACTTCAAACGAAGTATATTTGGAAATAAAAGAAAATGTAAATCCAAAGAAAGCTCCTGGATTTCTGGAGTGTTAAAGCAATTTCCAAGGAAAGCTATATTAAAATTAACACATCTTATAAACGCTTCCTTTACGATGAAGATTACGATTCCAAAGATATGGAAGGTGGGAGAAATTATAATGACACTAAAACCAGAAAAACTTCCACAAAAAGCTCCTTCGTTTAAGCCTAGTTCACTGTTACTTGTCATGTCTAAATTACACAAAAAATTATTCCTGAACAGACTAAATACGATTATAGAGGAAAAAATCTAATCCTAATCATCAGTTTGGGTTTAGAGCAAGCCACTTAACGATAGATCAGGTGCATAGAATTAAAGATATAGTAGAAAAAGCTCTAGAAGAAGGAAAAGTTTGTTCCACAATTTTCCTCGATGTGAGTGAAAGTGAAAAGCAGACCAAAGTGCGGCTAAAGTGTATACGTTAGCTAGTAGTACTATAATGTAATATTTTGTATATAGAACTAACTTGCTTATTGATCATAGTGAATGATCATATAGCAATTATCATAAGACTCCTGTTGGAGTTTTATTTAATAAAAAAAAATGTTATCAAAACTGTTTCTCGTCATGCACCACTACTTATAACTTATAAGAAGAAAGAAGCACGAAAACATAAAGTATACTGGTAAGAAAAGAATGGAAGAAAGTTAGAAGAAAGATATACATACGAGGACATTCAACATTCTTCTTGAACCCACCGAACTTTTTCCAAGAGGCCTTTGCTCATCTTGTCCAATTTTTTCCAGAGCTTTGTCTGATTTCGACAAAAGTTTAGTCTCTACAAATGTTTTTAAGTCTGCAATTTTCTTTCGTTTCTTGCCGATTTTTTCGCTGGAAGATCGTTTGTGTAGAGACTCTTCTGATTTTGATTGGTTGTGGAATGGAGACTCTGGAAAAACATCTATTTATTAGTTTAAAAAAGAAACCTAAAATTCCTATGGTATAGAGACCTGTTAGAAGGGAAACATCTCTTGGTTCTGGTACTTCTATGAAGTCCTTATTGCCATTTTCTCCTTTTCTAGAATCATTGCTTTGATACAGAGATACTTCAATTTTAGGTATTGGCAACGAATTACTTCTTTTTCTCGGCTGTTGTTGACCTACTGATTCATCATTTATGTCTCGTAATCTAAAATTAATCACTGTCTTTAAAAATGACCACCATTGGTTAGATTATAAATAATAAATTGTTGCCTTCTCTTTTATATTACCTTAATTCTCTATAACCAGATGTTATCTTACCTATTATACATATAATGCAAAGCCCAATAGATTCCCTCCTCTTGCCACAACGTTATGAACAAACACCTTAGAACCGCAACATCTAAAAATGTCGCAGCAGAACTATCATAAACGTGCATAGCCATCTTAGTCATATCTTCTTTGGGCGGAGCCTCAGTTGAAGGCAATTTACTGCTGTCCAACGAATCTTTATCAGTGGAAGAGCTGCAAGAACCACAAAACATCACGTAAAATAAAGTGAGTTTTTATTATAATTACCCGACTTTCTGCATTGGCGGTTTGGATCCAGGTTTGGGGTCACCTGGGGAAATATGCTCTGGCTTAACATTATTAACTGTGCGTCCACTACCGTTACGTCTCATAGCCAATTGAATTATACTGGTCTCAGCCTGAAAATGGCGATTTAATATTAACACTATTAAATCGCTATGTTTTATTTTCAGTAGTAATTTTTAACATTTATATTTTTTAAAGGTTTCAAAACAAACTGATATTTGGGTAATTATAACGATATATACTGATGTTACTGAGAAAGAAAGACGTCATTATAAAAACAAAGATAATCAGATGTACAATGTGCAGAAATAGAACAATACCAGAAAAGACATGATAGTTTTAACAAACAAAAAAAGATTGAATTATAGTTTATTCGTCTTCCGGGTTTGGACCGTGTCATTTGTGAGTGACCCAAAAGTGGGTTCATCTCACACACACCGACATCTACATCCCCCTTTAAACCCTAAGACGACAAATTCAGAATCTTCGGGTAATACTCCTGTGGCTTTTCTTCCGTATATTCGAAGTGTCACTGATAGGATTGGCAAAATTCTTCGCAAAGAAGGTATCAGGACTACTTTTCGACCACCCAAGAAAATCTCACAATATCTACCCTCTCCCAAGGACCCATTACCACCCCTATCTTCTTGTGGTGTCTATTCTATTCCTTGTTCATGTGGACATATGTATATTGGCGAAACTGGTCGTTCCGTCAAAACTCGGATTCAAGAGCATCAAAGATGCATTCGATCAGGTCTTTTCTCCCATTCTGCAGTTGCAGAACACTGCCAAGAAACCGGTCATTCCATATTGTTCGAAAAAACCCATATTATTTCTAAGAGCCCCTTCTTTTATTCCAGAAAAATCCGCGAATCTCTAGAGATCCGAAAAAATCCACATAATATCAATCGAGAGGAAGGATACTACTTGTCTCCCATCTGGAATCTCAGTCTAGAGCCGCCGTCCGGTCCCGCTACCACGATGCAGCCACATGATTGGCCAGCGCGCGCTTCTTGACGTTCGCGCCACGGAGTGTGCCAATACGTCCCGACACGACAGGTCACCGCGACTATAAATAGAGCGGTAGCGGAGTAATCGTCGGATTCACTCCCCGCCGCTCGACGCGTTAGTGTTCTGAGCTGTTGGACGTGAATCCCTGTCCTGGCATTTGGTTTTCACCTCTGGCTGCGTTGAGTAGTTGAGTTACTGTGACCAAATGCCCATCTTGGTAGTTAGTATTCGCCTCTGGTTGCGTTGAGTAACTGAGTTACAGTTGCTAACTACCCATCTTCCTGTCTTCTTTTTCGTTTTCTTTTTCTTTGTTTCTCCTGAAGAAGCTACATACAATTGTAGCGAAACGTCGAGATGAACCCACTTTTGGGTCACTCACAAATGATACGGTCCAAACCCGGAAGACGAATAAACTATAATTATGACTCTGGCCGTGGAAGCCTACGATTTCAAAAAAGATTGAAGAATTAACTCACAACAATAGAAACTCAAAACCGGGAATACTGAAAGACGCAAATGGGAAACTTGTGTTGAATACTAACGACAAATTAAAGAGATGGACAGAATATATCAATGAACCGTTCAAAGACAATAGAACAGATTAGATGGAGATACAAGTAGAGAAGGATATGGTTTTAAAGATATTAAAAGAGGAAATTAAAATGGCATTAAAACCAGCAAAAATGATAAAGCAGTAGGTCCAGACCAAATCCCTGTAGAAATCTTAAATGCATAAATGATGAAACCTTAGACATTATAGTAGACTTATTTAACTCAATATACAAAACAGGACACATACCGAAACAATGGTTACTCTCCACTTTTGTGCTATCCCTAAAAATAAAAAATACAAACGCTTGATATTTTAGTGAATACATAACAATGTCGAATGCCTTGTTGTAGTCTATAAAGCATACATAAAGATCTCGATTAACATCCAAACATCTTTGAGTCAGCTCGTTAAAAGAAAATAGTGCCTCTTTGTGCCCACTCCATTCCGAAATCCACATTGGGAATCACTAATATTCATCTCCAGCTTAGCGTGTATTCTATTATGGATGGTTTTAAGCAGGGTTTTAAGATATGTGTCATTAGACTGATCGTTCGATAATCACTACATTCTTTGGCATTTACTTTCTTTGGTAGACAAATAAATGTCAGCATTTCACGTGGAATGATTCCTGTGGAATAGATTGTGTTCAGTAGTTGGACTAAAAGATCTATGTTTTTTTTTCATTGAGCAGTTTTAGGAATTTACTTGGTATTTCATCTGGACTAGCAGCTTTATTATTTTTCGTGGACTTTATTGCATGCTATTGATTGATTGATTGATATATATAAAATATCGCAGAATATCTCTAGACAAAAAATTAACCTTTGCAGCACACAACGAAGCCATTTTACAACAATGTAGTAAGGTATTAAACTTTTTGAAATGTATTATGAGGAAATGGTGTTGTGCAAAGCACAAACAGCCTTGAATTTTTATAAATCATATATAAGATCTATTATAGATTATGGTAGCTTCCTAAATTGCTGTGCAAATAATAAATTACTCAGTGCAAATAAAAATACTACAGTTCTTTTTTTATAAACAAGAAAAAGTTATATTTTTCCATTGAAAAAAACCCCACTTATTATTTTTAGTCAAAATCAAAGTGCTCAAATCGTACATTTTATAAATTCTTAAATAGGGACTTAATGTGTCTTGCTTACAGTATAAATAGATGGATCCCGAATAAAACCATCTGATTCATTGAGAGACGGCAGTCTAAATATAACAACGTGTTCTTCTTCCGTACTAGAACTTTCTTCTGGTATAGTTTCTGGAAATACCGTATCTTTCGGAGACGATACCCAAGAACCCTACAAAATAACAAGTTTTATTTTTAAATTAACACAAATCATTTTTATCAAATACCTCATCATCGACCTTTGTAGTAATGGTAGCGGTTATAGTAACAGGAGCGCCACATGTAACAGGACCTGGGAGAGGAAAGTGCTGTTGATCGGAGCTCGAAGCACTTATTCCTTGACTCGTTGGACTGTCTCGGGTAAGGGGTTCGTCGTGAGATTGCTTTCCTAAAAGGTTCATACAAATGTTTAATAAAATCCCGACAAAATATTATTGTATTATCATATTATGTGATGGCACACATCAAAGGTCTGCCTCACGGTATCTGGAGGATGCAATATTTCTCTTTTCTTCTTCTTCTTCCTACTTTATAAATAGGCTTAATGCCTGTTTTACTTCGTTTTTAGCCTCAATTGACGTTGTCTGACCATCTTTTCCTCGGTCGTCCCAATGATCTTCTTCCATTTGGCGATTTATCTCTTGCTATTCGTACTATTCTATTTTCTGTCATTCGTTCGATGAGTTGATTCCATTCCACTTTTCTTCTTTTGGTCTACGCGTTTATTTCCTCTATACCACATCTCGCTCGTATTTCCTCACTTCTTATTCTGTCTTTTAGAGTTTGGTTTGTTATTTTTCGTAAGACTTTCATTTCTGTTGTTTCCAGCAGTCTTTGTGTTTTCGCCCTATCTGCTCTTGTTTCCGCTGTGTCCATCATTATCGGTCTTTTGATAGATAAAAACAAAAACCCACTAAGACGAGCACAACATAAATCAAAAAAATCCGTCAACCTGTCAATAGGGACATACAATATTAGATCAATGTCCATGGATGAAAAAGTACATGAACTGGAAGAAGAATTAACAAACATGAAATGGGATATCATAGGCCTATCAGAAACTCGACGAAAAGAAGAAAACCGAATACAACTAAAATCCGGTAATCTGCTGTATATAAAGCAAATAAAAAGAATAGTAAATTTGGAGTAGGATTTATAATAAATAAAGCTGTAAGAAACATGTCCAAATTATCAAAGGTACCTATATCAGATCGTGTCGCCTATGGCATACTTAAAATAAGAAGAACATCAATTAAAATGATCCAGATATATGGCCCACGACAGCTTTTGATGACGAAGATATCGAATTTTTTTATGAAGATATATCAAAAGCTATGGAAGAACATAAAAATCATCTTACACTAGTAATTGGAGATTTTAAAGCCAAACTGGTTAGAAAACTAAACAAAGAAGCAACTAAAATGGGAGATTTCGGGTATGCTTACAAATGATACTATGAATAACAAGATAGGATCTTCCCGTAGCTCAAAATCGGTCGGGTTCGCGCATCCTGTCATTGGAGACTAGAATTTGAATTCTTGTTAAAGTTAAATGAGATTTGTATGCATTCTGTGATGAAATTACTAGACGAAAATAAGTTAAGAGGTTTAATAATTACAATCATCGTACACATAAGGATATCTCCAAACTATTTATTAAAGATTATTTATTGATATATACAAAAACTGACATTTCGAACGTGCAAGTCTCCAATGACGTCACAAAAACATGCGCAATATCTTATCTTATAGTCATAGTATCATGTGCTTACACAAATGGTAGAACTGCCACTTTCATGAACTACCTAGAAAAGCATCTATATGCAATGAACTCCTTTTACATAAAGAAGCCCCAACGAAAATGGACAAGGATCAGCCCTATTGGATTCACAAAAAATGAGATCGACTACATACTGTCCAAGGAACACGATAGATTATTAAAGATGGAACAGTTCTTAACAGATTCACAACAGGTAGTAATCATAGGATGGTCAGAGCAAAAATTAGTATTGATGGTAACTATGAAATGAAAAGAAAAATTAGCAGCTGGGATCTAGTAGATAGAAAGAAACTAGGGCAATATAAAGGGATATACAAAGAACTATTAAAAGAACAACTTACCCAAAAATTAGACAGTGATGATAATTATATAGACGAAATGGACAACATACTTACAGCAAGGATGATTACATCAGGAAAAGAAATAGCAAAAAAGGATCTAAAAAAGATCAACAATATATCGACACACACAAAGAAGCTCAAGGATAAAAGAAGGTAGCTGAACGAAGAAGGCAAAAGAAAATCTATAGAATATGTAGAAATCAATAAAAAATAAGCATAATGATAAAAGAAAATAAGAAAAAAGAACAAGAAATAATAATAGAAGAAGTGATACAGAACAACAAAAATATGAATTATATAACAGGAGAATTTTACTGTCATCATGTCATGTGTTTGTCTTTTTAAAGACGAATTACATGCTGTGATTTTTTCTGACGGATATTCTCAAGTTAAAGTTGATTTCATGTAATCGAATGAACTATCTTATAAGTAAAGTCGTCCCAGGAGCGCAACTCAACAATATTGGCAATATCATTTTAAAGTCGTCTACTTTAAAATGCATAATGTATGTCTGAATTGTCAATATAAATGAGTCAGATAAAATTAAATTATTAGAAGAATTTTTTCACTATGTAACAAAAAACAAAATTTGTTTAATTTACTGTTTGTATTTTGAGAACGATTTCCGAATTGGAAATTGAAACGTCAATAAACGTATTTTTATCTTTAATTGTGGTTTATTCCCAGTTATAAATAGTAATTAATATACAATGCCACAAGAAAATAGCTTCAGAACAATAACAAAAATATGAAATGCTTAAAGATCGAAATTAGGTAAGTTTGAAATAAACAAAATAAAAGATGTGAACGGAGAAGAAACAAACATTAAAGATGACATCATAAATATAATCCACCATTTCTACTCAGAATTATGTAAAACAAAAAAGGAACCACCAGAAGAAATTAAAAACCAACTTAAGGCTAAAATAAAAAATGTCAACTTAGAGCTACAGCCAGAAATAAGTAAATCAGAAATAAAGAAGGCATTGAAAGAAATGAAAAAACAACAAAGCTATGCTGGAGATGCTGGAATGTGGTGGAAAAGTGGTAATTAATACTCTACATTCCCTGTTTAACAAGATATTAAAAGAAAAAAGAATCACAAATAACTGGAAGGAACCATTACCCATTATCCTACACAAGAAAGGGGTAGATAGAGCAGATATAAAAAACTACCGTCCTATAACACTCCTCAATGTAATGTATAAACTCCTAACAAAAATTTTAACTAATAGATTGACGGATTACCAGTCGAAAGAACAAGGTGGTTTTAGAAAGGGATTCAGCACAAGTGACTGAAATACTGAAGTACAGAGGAATATATCTAAAACTTATCAAAGCAGCTAAAAAATGTTCCGATGATGAGTTCTGGTAAGAACATCTTGGCAGTGGGTTTTGTTCAAAATTTTCTCTGTTATTATAGACGGTAAAAATGATCAATTCTCGAAGACATCTGGATTGAATAGTTGTATTCTTCCACAAGGAAAAATTCCTGTAGCTGGCTGTATACCACGTATAACAAAAAGAGGTTAATCTTTGTAAATGGGTATATTTATTTAAAAACCCTTAAAAGGGCCACATCAATAAAACAAACGTTTTCGGACCACACAGTCCATCATCAGGTTATTAAAATCGAAAATGCTAGGTCACAATGCCTGAGCCACCAAAATATTAGGGTAAAAACCCTTTAAATTACATTTAGTTATGAAATAAATACAATAAAAATAAAACCTGTTCCACGTTGTTCTCCGAGTGCAGAGGTTCCCTCTCACCGGCTCTGGAACCCAATTGAACCATGTGTTACGCTACAGTCAAATTTAATTTAATACTGAACATCACAGTTATTTTATAACACAATGTACAATATTTCATAACTAAATGTAATTTAAAGGGTTTTTACCCTAATATTTTGGTGGCTCAGGCATTGTGACCTAGCATTTTCGATTTTAATAACCTGATGATGGACTGTGTGGTCCGAAAACGTTGTTTTATTGATGTGGCCCTTTTAAGGGTTTTTAAATAAATATACCCATTACAAAGATTAACTCTTTTGATTCTTGTCTTTTAAATGCATTTGATGGTAATGCTCGATTAAAGAAACAGGTTATTTTAAATTGTGTCACTGGATTTTGTTACAGTCAAAATGGAATTTCTTGGCTATGCTAAGTAAACCAATAAAAACAAGAAACTTAGTATCCGAGTTAAAACTTTCATAATAAAATATCCATGTACTTAAGTAAATAAATCGAAAAATAAATAGCCCAAACCGTGACAAAATAAATTGATTCCAAAATGTTAGAGGTAATTAATTGTAGTAAAGTTTCGGCGTTTATATTTTGTCCAGTCATTTTTAACGTTTAATTGCCTCATTCTGATGTTAAAATAATGAATAGTATCAGTAGATATTTGCTGTGGTGTCAGACATAATGAATATAGAACAAGTTATATTATTTTTGGTAATATTAGGCACGATAACAGGTTAGAAATAATCATTTAAATAAATTTTTTATATTTAAAATTTATATTCCACTTTTATTTTAGCCGAAAATGTCAAAATTGAAACCATTTTATCAAAAATACTTAGTATACATTTTAAAAAGTGTGTGTACTACATATTCGATGAAAGTCCAAAACTAACAAATTTGCCAAAAATAATAAACTCAGCTTTAATGATATCTTACATTCCAATGATCACCATACAGCAGAATAATTCCAAACAACTTCTTGAGTCGAAATGTCATGAGTACCTTATTTATACCGAGAATATGGAAAACTTCGAAAAACTAGCCAATATTAAAGAACTATTGGAGATGTTTCGACCTTGGGGTAAGATGATATTCATAACCAGTACAAAACCAAATGTGTCTTCGAACTTCTTAACTGTTGCCGTTAATGAGAAAGCCATTGATTATGCAATCGTAACAATTGTAGAGAACGTAAGAAGAAATATTTTTTGGACATTACAATGGAATACAAGATGAATATCTATGCTTTACAACAGAATGTTACCGTAGAATTGACTTTCGGAGACAGTTTTAATTTTACGAACATTCCCCAAAGTAGGAAACGTAAATGGATACCAAAATTTGCTTCTCCGATTAGGATAACCATATTCCATTGCCCTCCTTACGTCATTATAGGTAAATATAAAACTACTTGTCTTCCGATTGATTAGGCGAATGAAACCAAAGGTTTCGCAGTTTTATCCAACAACATACACAAACGCACACAAACACACACACACACACACACACACACACACACACACACACACACACACACACACACACACACACACAACGCACACAAAAACACATCACACTTGTCTTCATTATCAAAAAACGACAGAGAGTCTGGGTGATCCCAGAATTACCCGTCCTGATCTAGAAATGTATCAAGTTTGAAGACACCACTTAATTTAGGATGTTCTACTTAGGGTTTCTACTCTGGGTGAGTCTACTTTTTCATTAACAATAGTAAAATTTTAAGTAGCACTGTTGAAACGAGGCCCCACGAGCTGCCAAAATGAGTATCACAGGTCAATCGATAACGATTGACCCCCCAGGTAACGACTCCAGAAACGGTGAAGAAAATCCACAAAATGGTACTGGATGATCGTTGACTGAAAGTGCAGGAGCTAGCAGATTAAGTCATCATCATCATTGGTGCTATAGCCCTATAGAAGAGCCTCGACCTTCCCTGGAAGTCTATTACGCCAGTAAGTTCTACCATTGCCAACTGTTGCTGGTTTGCTGCGCCTATTTTTCTACCATCCTCATCTACACCATACCTCCATCTGAGTTTTGGCCTACCCTACTTCTACTTCCCACAGGTTGTGACATAAGGATTCTTCTAGGAGGGTTGTTCTGGTGTGATCTTGCCAGATGTCCTGACCATCTTAGTCTTCCTATTTTCATAAGAGATACTACGTCTTTACCACCAAATATATGTTTATATCTGTGATATATCTCGTAGTTGTACCTCCTTCTCCAAACACCATTTTCACAGATGCCACAGAATATTCTTCTCAGTATCCTTCGTTCAAATATGAGCATGAGGTTTTCATCTGCCTTGGAAATGTTCCATGTCTCCCATCCATATGTCAACATGGTTATTTTTGTTTTTTTTTTACTTAAGTTTCTGTTTCTCATATGTCTACTCAATCCAAAATAGCATTTGTTTGCTAGGATTATTCTTCGCTTCATTTCTTCCGTCATGACGTTCTCCTTGGTCATTAGGGAGCCTAAGTATGTGAATTTGTCCGCCAGGTAGAGTTATCAAAGTGAATTGGTGGCCGATGTTTCTGGCTCTTAGCAGACTTAGTAGGCATTTCAAAAAGTGCGGTACATCGCATATTAACTTAAAATTTGGACATAAGACAGCTCTGTGCAAGATGGGTGCCGACTCCGCTTATACTCGACCAAAAACAGTGTCATGAAGATGTTTTAATTGGGTGTTTAGCAAAGTTTCACAGCAACAAAGCAGAATTTTATATTAGCAGATAACCAAATAAAAGATTTTACGCATTTGTCCGCATAGAAATTAAATTTTGTTACGTTTTTTTTCTTCTTGAACTCTTTGAAAATTTACTCTTCTTCTTCATATACTTAGCTTTCTTGTTCGCAGTAAGGATAATTTTGGTACGAGTCATTGTATATATCTTTATCGTAGTTGTTTTCCTCTCATTGTTTGATAGTAAAGAGCTCTTCTACGGTAAATCTAGGAGATAGCTGTTTGTTAAAAGTAGATAGTTTCTTTGAGATTGGGGTCTATCAAAGCCTGTTTTGCGTGTGGATATGCTCATAAGTAATGCTTATATGATTAAATGGAACTGATTTACGAAAATTGGGTTGAAAAGCTCTAGAATTTTGTGCATATATAGTGATCTATTGATTTTTTTGGAACCTTAAGAGTTGAAATGTCCATCTTGGGCTATTTATAAATGGCTGTTTTGGCAAAGCCATTTTATTTGGCCTAGAGAATGGCTGTAGGCATTGTGGCTTGTGCAGCTCAGGTTGTCATCGTGTAGAAGCGGGTGTATCTATTAAATTGTATATTTGCATGTATAAAGAGGCAAATGATTTGTTAGAAGGTGATAAAAAATAAGTCCTGAGATTTTTGAAGATACCTAATATTGTTTTCCTGAATATATTTAACAGCAAGAGCAAGATTCGTCGGAAAAATATGGTTAAAGCTTGTTGAAAAAATTCTGTTTTACTCCTCTTTACTTCCTCATATTCTATGTGTAATTCAATGCGATTTAAAGTAGTATATAGAAGACACATATGACTGTCATGGAATTGATGTGGTTTCCCATTTAGGGCTTGACAAAGATTAACTAAATCTCTGGTTAACCAATTTTCATTACTTTGTTCTGCAAAACATCTTTGAACAAAGATTACTTGTAGTGACAGCCACTCTTTACTGAAATATTCATTTATCCATCCTATGAATCTACAGCCCAATTCGAGATTTCTAGCGTCCTCATCCACATGATCCTTCCATCGGATTCTCAGTCTTTCAATAGGCCTTTATTGAAAATATACAGAAATAATTTCTCTGGCTCTTTCTTTGATTTTGTTCATGATTCCTAGAGTAAGCAAATGATTTTGAAAATTTTAGAGATTTATATGATCCAAGAAGTAGTTGAAAAGCAATAAAATAACATCAATAAAATTGTGAAGTTCATTTGGATTGCCATCGTACTCTGGTACAATAGAAAGTTCTTTATTGACATCAAACATTGAAAATATTTGTATTGGATGCTGGTGTAATAATTATAGACAGTATTTCAAAAGAATTTGTGGACTTTTTGATTATTGTCGATTAAATGTAAATCCGATTTGATATTTTTACTAGATTCTATGTTGGATTCAAAAATTGTTGAAAGAGAATCGTTTATTCTAAAGGGTTATACTTGCGAAATGATATTAGAATTAGAATTAGAAATTTAATGCATTACTTTTCGGTACGGGTTTGTTTTCTTCATTAAGTTTTTTTTTTCTTTTTCTTCATAAATATGTTTTTAGGCCAATTTTTATGAAGTCCGTGGTATTTCCATGGAATTTTGGTTCGGTAGCGGGTAAACCAAAGAAAAATGGATAAGAGAAAGGTGCGACAAAATGGAGGATGTAATATCTAATCACGACTTATATTAATGTGCACAAAAAACTAAACGATATGGGTAACATATTTAAAAAACGAGTTCCCTCTGTACTCGTTGACAATGATAACAAAATTATTGTAAATGAGCACGAAATAAGAAAAGAATGGCAGCTGTATATATCAGAGTTGTTTGAAGATAATAGGAATAATATTGCCGAATTCTACCAAAACTGTACTGACGGCCCAGAAATTATGAAATGCGAAGTAGAACATGCTATAAATAATGCTAAAAATTAGAAAAGCTTGTGGTCCAGATGATACACCTACTGAGTTGCTGAAACTGCTAGAGAATGATAACATAAAAGTAGTAGTAAGACTTTTTAATTCAATAGAGAAATACAGAATACATACACAACAGAATTAGAAGCATATGCGAAGAAGATCTCGAAGATACCCAATTTGGTTTTAGAAATGCTATGGGAACCAGGGAGGCACTTTTTGCGCTTAACATTCTATTACAAAAATTCCGTGACCAAAAAAGATATATTTGCATGTTTCATGGACTTCGAAAAGGCATTCGATAAAGTAGAGCATGTAAAATTACTGCAAATGAAATCTCCATACAAAGAGGAGTCACACAAGGTTCCATTTTGTCACCAATATTGTTTAATGTTTACTCGGACCAGTTATTTAAAAAGGCACTTGAGAGACAACCATATGGAATAAAAATCAACGGGGAACTACTTAATGTGATTAGATATGCAGACGATACAGTAATTCTGTCAGATAATACTGAAGGTCTGCTTGTCAGGTAATATTCTGCTTGATCGTATTTACGAGGTAGGAGAGAAAATGGAGCATTAAAATAAACTCAAACAAAACCAAATTTTTAGTGTTTAGTCAGTGACCCACATCCCGACGGCAAAGCTTCAATTAAAACGGAGTCTAAGTTGAGAAAGTTCACAAAATGACATATTTGAGAACTGTGATAACGGACCAATTAGATCCAGACATAGAAATAAAACGTAGAATAGCAATGACTAAAACTACTTTTATGAAAATGAAGTCACTTCTTTGCAAGAATCATCTCAGTTTAGAACTAAGTCAAAGAATGGTTAAGTGCTATGTTTGGTCCATACTTTTGTATAGTGCAGAAGTGTGGACGCTAAAAGTATCGATCATGAACAAAATTGAAGCATTGGAAATGTGAGTTCATAGACGAATGCTGAAGATACCTTGGACAGCAAGGAAAACTAATGAAGAAGTACTAAGGAGCGTCAACAAAGATAGAGAACTGCTAAACATCAAAAATGTCTTATCTGGGACATATAGTAAGTAGAGGTGTAGGAAGAAAACAAGTTTCTTGGTTCTTAGTTCACATTCGTGAATGAACTCAGATAACAAATGCAGGGCAATTATTACATATTGCAGAAGACCGAAAAGCCTTCGCACGTCGGATAATTCGAATAGACGCGAAGAAGAAGAAAAAAACGGGTAAACGTTTGAAAACGACGAGGATCTTCTGGGACTCTCACTAATCCACTGGATGCTCTACTTAAGGGTTGTTACTCCCAATGGTAATTTTTAAAAAGTACCTGAGGGAGTGGTAAATTCCCTAAGTTAATATACAAACAATAAATTACACTTAAATTTATTGTGCATAATGAGATCTTATTATTTTTATCTTAATATTACTAAGTATTATTATTCTAGGAAAGAACAACTCCATATACGGCGTAGAAATGACGATACTACGCGAATCATTCAAAGGGCTACCAGTGCAGTACTTAGTCCACAACAACGAAAGCGAGGACGGAGGCATGTGGTTTAACACTTTAGTGGAACTAGAAGTTGGACAAAGGGAGCTATGTATATGTTCAAGATGGCCTGAAAATGGTTATAAAAAAAATCTAGAAATTAGTAAGTCCATGCATCAAGTGTGCCAAGTTTTCCTGGTCAAAAAACCGACCATATATCCTGACGTGATGTTTATCTTTTATACTTTTAATTTGGTTATTGTGGGACCTAGTATATTATTATTCCTATTTTTTTCAGTGTTTTTAGTACGAACTGAACAATTCTCTAATTATTTAAGAAGTCGCAGACATAGACCCGTTTATTACTATGTACAAATTTTGCTCGATCTGATGCGCATTTTTACCGGTGGTGGAGTTTGCTTAAGATTCATGTATCGTCTGCTTTCATCCAAAACTGTTTTAATTTGTTGGTTATATACATGTCTTGTATTTGGCACGTACTATTCTGCAGGAATAACTAGTACCTTAGCATTTCCGCCTATAATGAACGTAGTAAACACCTTACAGGACATGGTTAGATTACATGTTCCTTGGAAGCTATCCAACGATTATTATAAGCAGGAATTCCAACTAAGAAACAGTACACTTTATAATGGTTTGGCTAACTTGCACGTCCTAGGCAATCGTATAGAAGACCGCACTCCAAACTCTGCAATAATGGCAAAGGTAATAGAGAATCACTTCGTTAGTGACCTTGAAGCCTTGCCAGAAAGAGATCGAAAATACTACAAAGTCGTTAAACCTTGTGTAGCAACGCACGAGAGTGTATTTTTTGTTAAAAAAGATTCTGCTTTAACCAAACTGTTGGATCAGACAATAACGAAGTTTGTGGAAAGTGGCATTTTCCGTTATTTAATATTAAAAAAGTTAAATAAGTTTTACGGAACAGCTGCACATGAAAGCTTTTTTAGTAATTACGTAGAGAATAGATTCTACACAAATATTGGGATGTCCAAAATTATAGGTGCGTTCATAATACTAGGTGTAGGTTTGATTGCAAGTATTTTGGTGTTTTTTATCGAAATTAAATACGCCAAAGCAGCTAAGATGACAACATTAAGAATTCAATTTATAAATTAGTACAAGATTATCATTAGGTCAATATATTGATCACCATTATCATTGTAGACATTTGCTTGTTCTAGAGTTTTCTTTCAGTCTGATACGTTCTTTGTTTTGTTCTTCCAGTTGGTAATTTTTAACCCCGGTTCATCCAGGTGGGGTCTAATGGTACCCCCAACGCACTTAGAAATAGCACATTTCTATGTTTAATACATGGATGTTTTATTGGTTGCCTCTAGCTTCCTAAAACATGTTGTCGTTGGGCATGATCATCGAGCAAAAAGACAAAAGAGGGAATGTAAAGGTAGTGGGGACGAAAATATTGTTAGACAGGAAGTGCGATCTTTAGAGGCCACATTAAACAAGGAAAGAGAGTATCTCTCCTTGTTTGACATCAAATTTAGTTGTGTTATGTTATTGTTTGTCCCAAATGTCACATGAAATCTTATTTATATTGAAGTTTTTTAACAATTGTCTCGCATTTTAGACTATTACCGTTAATAATTAATTAAAACTTTCTCGTCTAAGATACATTCTGAAAAATTTTATATAGCTACAGTGAATAAGTGTCGGAAAATTTAAATTTGGCGCATTCGCATTTCCGGATATGTCCGCCATCAGAGGCCAGTTTTTTGGTATCCTTTTCCTAAGGATTAGATTCCCTCTTTTGTCTTTTTGCTCGATGGGCATGATACTATAACAAACAAGATATGCTCACTTGCTGTTTTAATTTTGATCGACTTTGCGCATGGCGTCATGGTGAGACAAAGCCAGGGGACTTGTTTGTATCATATTTTAACGAAGCAACATATGGCAACGTAGTTCCATTACTGTAATAAACAACTTCAAAACTTCAATTGTTAACGGTAAGTATACCTCGATGCCATATCTTGCACTAAGAAGTCATAACTAGTTACTTTCTGTGAAAACGTGTTTTGAAAATTAATAAATTATTTGTAAAATTAATTAAAGGAATATATGCATCTACTATTTGATTGTGTGTATTACAAACAAAATAAATATTGCTACAAAACATAAATTAAATATAAAAGGCCGGCAAAATGTAAAGAGTTTGACCATAAAGGAAAAGCGGGTCAACTTGAGCTTTATGAATATTATTTAGACATTTATTTTAAAATCTTCGCTAACATTTACATATTTTTTTGTTATTTTTAATGTGTCGCCATTATAACTACGAAAAATATGTTCCAGTTCACTACATACATCCAAAGTAACTTTTTTTAAAGACCCATCAAAAATAAAGTATTACTTCAATTCAAGTTCTATTAAAATGGGCATTAGTATATATTATTATCTATAGAAACATTTATTATTATCCATAGAAACATTTGCTCTGCTGTTATAATATTGATATATTAATTCTCTGTCGTTATTAATTCTTTTTATTTATATATTATAGAATTGCATCAAATGAAAAATTTCAATTTAATTTTAAAGTTTAACTTGCTGTCATTAATTTTGTCAATTTGGCATTTTGACATCTTGTCTCAGGCTTACGTCACAAGGACATTCGCGTTGACTTATCTTGTTTTGTTTTAGTATCATGGTCGTTGGGTATTCTGAATCAATTTCAGTTGTAAGTTGATCGTCAAAGTAAGTACAGTGTTTTGCAATCGGATTAGAGCCCACCTAGGTGACGAAGATTTTTTTTTTAATTCGCAAAGTAGCTAAGACAATTTTAATTCGTGGCGTTATTTGTTGTAAATATAAACTTTTTTCTCTAGAAGGAATTACGAAAAAGAACAAACCAAACTATTGGCACTTTGGCAGGAACTTGAGATGATGAGTAGGTACGAAATTGTGGACTCCGACGATAAAAACGAAATGTATCACATAAGATATCAGTCTGATGGTGAACAAAATAAAGAAATTGAGGAACTACATTTATTGAAATCTGAAAATGAGCTAAAAGAAGATAAAAAATATCCTTATTATTTAGGTAGGGATTCCAAAACAAAATGGGGAAAACACCATAGTAATAAAGCAGTTAGAACGAGGACAGAGAACATAATTTCGAACTTACCAGGATCCAAACCATATGCTGAAAACGCTAAGACTTTTTTAGATTGCTGGTTTCTTTTTTTAATGAAGAAATGCGTGAAGTTATTACGTTCTGCACCAATGTATTGAGGTTCGCGGTATATTCTGAACAAGCCCACGAAATCTATCTAATTAGCCTTCTTCGGTCCATCTTTGGACATAGGCCTCCCCAATCCTTTTCCATTCTTCATCCATCTAGAGCCCACGTGTTTCTTGATATCATCTGCCCATCTCATTTGGGGCCTTCCTCTGCTTCGGTTATATTCCCACGGTCTCCAACTTACAAGAATTTTGTTCCATCGGTCTTCTTTTTGTCTTATATTGTGTCCGGCAAATCTCCATTTCAATTTTGCAACTTCTTGTCTAACATCCCTCACTTTTGTTTTCTCTCTTATCCTACCGTTTCTCTTCTTATCCATTAGTCTTATGTGCAACATTTGTCTTTCCATTGCTTTTTGGCTTTTTATGATTTTGTCCATGTTTGCTTTTGTAGATGTCCACGTTTGGGAACCATAAGTAAGAACAGGGAGTACGCATCGATTATATACTTTGGTCTTAAGATGCTGTAAATATCTTTTGTTTTTAAGAATGTAGCTTAGTTTACCAAATGCCGCCCATGCCAGTCTAACTCCTCTCTTTATCTCTGCTGTTTGGTTCTCTATGTTAAGTTTTATAGTTTGACCAAGATATATAATCCTTAACTTGTTCTATTTTATCTTGTCCGATTCTCATTGTGATGTCTTCATCTGTATTTGTTATAGTTTTGGTCTTGCTGTAATTCATATTAAGGCCTATCTTTCCGGCTTCTACGTCCAGTTCTTCAGGACTGAAATACAGAATAAAAATTCAGGACCTAGTAGACTCACGTACTTTTTATGTTTTTAATATGGAAATTTATGCAGGGAACCAGCTAGATGGGCAGTACCAAATAATCAATAAACCTATTGATATTGTCCAAAGACTGATAGCACCAATTTCTGGTAAAAATCGAAATATCACTTTCGATAATTGCTATACCTTTTACAAACTTGTAAAAATTTTCCGTGAACGTGATAGTTTAACTTCAGTATGAACTCTGAAGAAAAACAAGAGAGATATTCCCCCAGAATTTATATAGATTAAGAACTCGGAATTTTTATAAACATTTCAAATGAAGAGTGAAAAACACGTTTCGAATAGTTTTTTATGGAAAAGGAACCTGTCGTAGGAAAAGGAACCTTCAGAAAGACAGTAATAGTGATTTTATTGATGAAATTCTGAATCTGATAGAAATTTTTCAGAAATTAAACCTCTTTAAACATTTTGCTCTTCTTAATTAATATTTTTTATTGTTAAATCTTCTCTAAGTTTTTGATTTTTTTAATTTTCTGTCCATTTCAAGTCTCTATGATAACAAAGAAACTACACGGGATGTAGCTGCTAGGGAAAGAAGAAAAAACTTCCGGTTAAGTTAGGAAATACTCCCAACCTAAAGTAAATTATGACAGGAAGCAAAATAAAGGGCGTAGAACATAAAAAAAGGAAAAAGTTGACGTTTCGATTTTCACGTCGGACATCATTCTCAAAGTTCCAAAGTGGAAATCAAAACGCTAAAATAAACAGTTTTTTATAAAAAAGCAATATGTTTTTTTATATTGTTCAACATACAAAATGTATGATTTAGACTTAAAATATGCTTTTGTTGTACAATTTATATATAATATATTTGTACAACTTTACACTATAAGAAAATATATGTCTGTACTCGCTCTTTTAGTAGTTTTTGTTTTTATACATTTATTTAACCCTTTTACTTTATTTTTAATCCTAAATTTTATAAAAATGTTTATAAATACTTCAGTTGTTACACAGGAAAATGCCATTGAACTTCTAAAAATCACATGAACAAACTAAGCTTTGCAGAGAATATTATTTTTTGCGGATTTTTTTGCGGAGATTTTGTGTTTTCGGTTTGTAGTCGCTTGTCTTCATTACGACGGTGGCGTTTTCCTTGTCTGCTGGTAAAATTACAACATCTTTGTCTGCGTTTAACGATTTTATTGCACGGATTTCTTGGTGACTGAAGTTATTTTTCGGTGTCTTAGCTTTATGCAAAATTCTCGCTGATTCTGTTCTTAGTTTTTCAGGTTTTTTCGATTGGTAAGTTGCGAATCGCAGACTCGATATTAGCGATGACATCTTCTTTGGGTATAACTTTAGGTGTAATCGCAAAATTTCCCTCTTTGGCTAGTAATGATGTTTCGTCTGAAGTTACAACCTTATCTGAAAGGTTTACCACTGTCCTTTCCATATTTTGTTTTGATTCTACCTCCCTATGTCTGGTTAAGCGTTCGTATTTGTTTTTCTGTCGTTCAATATTCCTTCTTAGTTCATTTTCCATTTTTCTGTAACAAATGGATTCAATCTTATTCCAATCTGCATATTTCAACCAACAGATTCTTGGTTAATTGATTCTTTTGCATTTTTACTCCCTTAAGAGCGGGGTTTCAGGGGAAAACCCAGGTGTAAAAGTAACAAACCCTTTTGCGTCATTTTTGGTGTTCCAAAATAAATATTTTCGACAAAATTCTGCTTGTTCGTAGGATTTGTAGGGGTTAACTCTCTGGCAACTCAACTAATGAAGTGATTGATGAATAGAAGAGATGGAGATCAATAATAGACAACATAATATGTAGTAAATGAAAAATAAAATAGTAATAGATAAGACATCAAACAAAATTTGTACTCACTGCCAACAAACACATCTCCAAACTGTTGCTTGTATTTTGAATTTTTCCCATTGAGGAACTTCGGTTTAGGCTTGCAGTGGGAGACAAAGCAAGGAGCGTCTGGATGGCGAAA